ATTTAACAAATGCGTGTGAACAAGGCCCAGCGAAAAGGTGGCTGCCGCAAGACCCCTAAGGAATATGTTGGTTATGCAAACATGAGGACTCCACCTTCGAGACCCCGAAGTTGCCAAACCGGGCTCAAGCATCTGCAAGCTTCCCAAGAGGCAATGCTGAGAGGGGTTTTTAGAATCACTGATTTTAGGGACACAAAAGGCCAGTGCCGGTTCTAAGAGTGAACTAATATCTCACCAGGACGATTTTCTTCTGCAAACTTCATAAGACCCCATTGCCTCCCAGAATGATGCATTGAGCTGTAAAGGAAAGAAAAGCAGAGATCCAAGCGTGCCCACCCTCCGGCCGCAGGCGACTCGGGGCCAGACGAGCAAGCAGGGCCACCTGGATGCTCTCGCAACCTACCTGGTAGGTGGAGGAGCCCGAGTCAGGCTGGGTGCCTAGTCGGGCCACCGAGTCCCCGTGATAGGCGCGCGACCGGGAGATAGCGGCCCGAGCGCAGGGCCGCAGAGATGACCTCAGCGCGCCCCACATGGCGGCGGCGAGCACCGAGAGAGCGAGGAGAGCGAGGGCGGCCCGCTGAGAGTCGTTTCGCCCGGCAGAAGTGCAGCTCTGGGCAGCTGCTCTACCTGAGTCCTTGCACACAACAATCCTGGTCCACCAGCTCCCGGGCCAGCCCCCCGCACACGTGCCACCGCAGACCACTTCCCATTGGTCGGGGCCGTGCGCCACGCCTCTCGATCCCGCCAATGAGGAGCAGAAGAACAACTCCGCGAGGCCCGGTTCCATCGCGAGCCCAGGAGCCCTGGGGTGACTAGAGGGAGCCTCTGCAAATCGAACAGTGGCTGCACTGACAGCATAGGGGAAGCGCTTCTGTCATAGGCGTGCCCCTAGCTAGCCCCACTGCAGAGCACGTCTGATCACTCTTAGAACGTGACAGATTGTAGACACCAGTATTGGGATGTTCAGGAAGAGACCTCAACACACCCATGAGGATTAAAAACACTAAACGAAGTCCCTTAACTTAGGTGTTTTCCCCCCTACTCACGTACTTATTGAACACTTACATGCTATCATTACACATGCTTCCTTAGAGGAGAAAGTAAAGTGTTTGGAACATCAGAAGAATGGACAAGCTAGAGAGAGGGTCGGCTACGGTCTGGGAGTGAATGTGGTTCCAGGCTTTATGAGCGCTTTATGAGAGAAGAGCACAAATGACTACCGAGTAAGAGCCAGATCAGGTAGGAGCACAACACAGCTGAAATGGAAACCCTGCAGGGCTGCTCTCTCTTTCTCTCTTTGGGGCCAGGGACTTCACTAATTGGCAGCTTTACGGAAGAAGCCTTGCCCACAGAAAACTATGGTAGCTTACCAAGTAAAGAGTCCCATCTTGCCAAATAGAATGGGTTCCAGAAGTAGCTAATTACTAGTCTGTCGAGAAAGAGTCTCAGAGTAGGGGGAACAACCTGTCAGAGCTCCACGTTTTATTACCCTGCAGCAAACAGCACCAACACCAGCATTGCTGCATCCTTTGCCGCAAATCTTTAGGAAGGCTTATGAGGGGACTTATGCTATGCAGTTTAGCATCCTTTGAGGCGATGTCGTCTGTGCTGCTATAAAAGACTGTCTGAAAGTAGCCACTTGGGGGCATAGTGGGGGCACACCTTTGACCCCAGCATTCCAGAGGCAGAGGCAGGTAGATCTCTGTGAGCTAGAAAGTCGCCAAAGGCTACCTACTTAGTGTGATCCTGTCTCAAAAACATCACCACCAACAAGAAAATAAAAGTTACCCGAAACTAGTTAATATATATAAACAGAAGTAAGTCTGGAAAATATGAAGTCCAAAACAAAGATCCCAGCAAGAATGGTGTCTTCCGAGAGCAGAGTCTCCTAAGATGTCTTGCTGCTGCTGCACCACCTGGAGCCCCACAAAACGGAGGAGTGGAAAGGAAGAAAATGCCCTTCCTCAGCTCTTATAAGGACATCTAAGTCCCATTCATGAGAGCAGAGTCCTCGTGATTCAGTCACCTTCTGAGAGACTATGCTTATAAATAATTGAGCACTGGAAAGTTTCACTTGCTTCGTGGCTTGAGTCTGGGGGCCTCAGCAACCTATTGAGTTGACCCTGAGAACTTCTGCGAGCCTAGGAATTTAGAGGCCAAGCTGAGGAACAGAATGAGACACAGTCTGAGACAAAGTGTTGGAACGTGAACTTTGGAGAAGACACCATCATCATTTTTTTGGGGGGGGGGACACCACCCAGCTCCCATATAAATCACACGTGGAGACTTACTGTTATGACTGTCCAACCTTAGCGTGGCTTGTCTCTTGCCACCTTTTCTAAACTTAAATTGCCTGTCTACCTTTTTCCTCTGGACTTTTTCCTTTTCTTCCTTCCGTTTATCTTAGTTCCACTCTTACTCCATGGCTGACAGGGTGGCTGGCCCCTGGCACCCTCCTCTCCTTGTTCTCTTACTCCTCCTCCTTTCTCCTTCTATTTATCCTCTCTGCCTGCCAGCCCTGCCTATCCTTGCTCCTGCCTCTGCCTCACTATTGGCCATTCAGCTCTTTATTAGACCACCATGTGTTTTAGACAGAAAAAGAATCACAACTTCACAGAGTTAAACAAATGCAGCATAAACAAGTCACACACCTTAGAATAATATTCCCTAACAATCATCCAAATAGTGTTGGGCTGGGGGTGTAGCTAAGAGGTATAATGCTTGCCTAGAATGCAAAAGGTTCTGAGGTCCATAAATACACACACAAATACACACACACACACGAGAAAAGAGAGCGGGGGGAGATGAATATGTCTATTATATTAAATGGTGCTTATTTTGAAGGAGTGACACTTTGTGCACACACATGCGATGTGTGTGTATGTGTGGTGTGATATATGTGCATGTGTATGCAAATGCACACGTGGAAGCCAGAGAATGCCAGGTGTCCTCCCTGCCTTATTCCTTTGCGATCAAGTCTTTCACTGAACTTGGAGCTAGAGGTTTGCAGCTAAAAAGCCTGCGATCCTTCCATCCCTATGGTACTGGAATTAACACAGACATGCCGCAATTCCCAGCTTGGATGTGGGTGCCGAATCCAAACGTAGGTCCTTATACTTGTGCAGCAAGTGCTCTTATGCCCTAAGCCTTCTATAGCCCCAGAACTGACAAGGTTTTGAAAATCTAAGGGAAATGTGGGCATTTAAGTAAACTCAAAGTGAGTTTATCCCATATGGCATTAAGTATTCTACCTTGCTATATAAGTTGACCCCAAATAAGGTCTTGCGATGCAGAAGAAAACAACCTAGAGTCACACAGCATACAAGCCACATAAAAGGAAACAAACCAGAGCAGTTGACCTGGAAGCATTTATTTCTAGCACTGAGGCCAAAATAAAAATGTTCTATTAAGTCCAGCACTCAAGAGGCAAGCTACAAGGATAAAAAGTTCCAAGTTAACCCAGGCTAATTGTGAGTTTGAAACCAGCCTGGACTACACAAAACTCTGTCCAAAAAATTGTTTTTTAATTAAAATAAGTATCAATTGCCCCTTCCACCCCTCATGAGTTCCCTCCCCATCCCACTCCTCAAATTCGTCTTATTCTTTAAATATGTGTGTGGGTGGGTGTGAATATATGAATGCAAACTGATGAGTGTATTACATACATGTTGTAGGTAGGACTGAATATTTGGGATTGAACTATTAGGGTCTTAATTATGTGTATGCATCAGTGACTATAACCAAGTATAAAAATGAATGCAGTTGTCCAGAGGCCAGAAAAGAGCCAGCTGCCCTCAAGCTAGTTACAGTAGGTGGCTGAGTTTGCCAGCAGCGGTGCTTGGAACCAAACTCAGGTTCTCTGCAATAGAGCTCAAGCACTGAGCAATCCCGTTCTTGCTGTTTCCAGACTGTTCCAGTTTGCTTGCCTGTGCTGATCACAGTCCATTACTAAGGGAAGTCAGCGGGACTCCAGGCAGGGACCGGAGCAGACCGTGGAGAAACACTGCTCGCTGGCTTGCTCAGCCTCCATTCCACAGAACTCAGAACCACCTGCCCAGGCGTGGCACCACACAGTAGACTGGATCCTTCTGCAGCAATCATTAATCAAGAAAATGCCCCAGACTCGTCTATGGGCCGATTTTTGGCGGTATTTTCTCAGCTGAAGTTCTCTCTTCCAAAACAATCATGGCTTGTGCCAAGTTGGGGAAAAAAATAATCAGCAAAGGTAGGATCCCGCTACGCATCCAGGCTGAACCCAAACCCTCACTCAGGTAGCACCACACACGTTTATGTAAGTTTTCGTAAGTTGGATGATATAGTCAATGCCTACACCATCATAAGAAAAATAAAAATTTCTATTTCACTATATTTCTAAAAGTAAACTGACAGAACAATTTAGCTATATACGTATCTCTTTGACATTGGAACAAAATCTACAACCTTTAAGTATCTAAAGAAATGGCCATGCTAACCAAGTTTCCACAGATAATTTTCTCAGCAAAAAATTTTGGGCAACCAATACTTGCCAATAAACAATTCAAAACCCTGTTTGTTTTAAATTATCTCTGGGACTAAAGCTTCAATTTCTCTCATTACAATGAAAACAAAGCATGTGTGCTAGGGAGGAAGAAGCAAAAGGTCTTGAGCTATGTAAAATTCATTAGAAAATAAGTAAGAGCAAACAAAACTTTAAATATGCAGGAAAGCCCATCATTTATTCTTGCAATTTAAAAGAATCCTTAACAAGAAGCATCAAGAATTCTTCTAACTTTGCTATGTACATTTTCTTTTCTTTCTTCTTTTATTTTTTGAGAGAGCGAAGGGTTCACTTTGTCAAAATCACACTCCTCCCGCCTCTGCTAGTGGGTTATGGGATTACAGACTTGAGACACCACCATACCTGGCAATACTACTGTTATAAAGTATAGATGATAACTGAAAATTGAAACGAGTTAACTTAGCATAAATATCTTTTGTTGTTTTGAAAAGGACAAAACAAAAATGATATAAAATAACATTTTATTTACATAATTTTTATCAACAGAACATAACTGCTTTCTTTAGAACAAGAAAATTTACAAATGACAGATATTATTTCTTTTATCAAAAACTCCTTCAAGCAAGGCAGTATACATGGTCACCTGCATATAGAATAATACGGTGGTAAACAGTGGATATTCATCTTTTTATCTATGCCTTAATCATTTATCAGCAATTAGACTTTTAAACCATGACTGGCAACCTGCTAAGATGTTAAGTGTTCAGGAGGAAAAAAGTCAAAGATTTATAGAACAAATTCCTGGAAGCATGTTTACACCACCAGGGATCTTTCCGCCTTAAAGCTAAGTACACTGATTGTGTTTCTCTTCCCAACATCTGTTTTGAGGTTGTAACAGCTGGACAATTTGTGACTGACTTGATTCTCTATACAATGAACGCCCTTGTACTCTTTATACAATAAATTACATCTTCCATAAAATCAGTTTTACAGACGAACAAGAGACAGATGTTAAAAAAATAAATATTATACAGGGATAAATAATAGTTTAGTTGCGGTGATCTAACCCAAGTAACATTAAGAAAAAAAAATCTTTACAGAACAGAAACTTTTAAATTTACAAACGGCAATGAAATAGCACTGTGAATTAACCCATGATTTTGTGATATTAATCACATGAACAGATGTATACTTTTGAGAATTTCCATCTAATTTATAGATCTTCCTTTATAATCAAGATGCTAAATCACTAAGACACAGAATGAAAAATATGCTCACGGTAGGTTTCAGTGAACTAGTTTCACTCTAGACTCACTGAGCCCTACTAGCCTTTTTCGCTTAGGCTAGAAAGCCAAAGTGACAACTTTCTTCTTCACTTAACTTGAAAAGTGGTCATCATTTTATCAATATATAAAGATGAAAATACTTTTCCAACTGAAGTATCGATCATTTCATAATACACTCAACACAGTTTTCTAAATCGTGGGCACATTTTACAATTTCTGTGACAAGTAACTCCTACGTAGAGACATCAGCACCTTCAGACAGGACAGCTCAGGTGGCAGGGTGCTTTGTGGGAAGCCTTGGCTCTACTCCAGCACAGCATTAAAATGCGCATGGTGTTGCACTCCTGTAACCCAGCTCTGGGAGTGGAGACTAAAGGATCACACTGAAGAACACCCTCATCTATAGAGTCCAGGGCTAGTCTGGGACACACAACCCTGTTTTAAGGGGGGGGGGGGAGGGGGCGAAGCTATAGCCTAAGACATGCTGCCTAAGTAAAAGCCCAGGCCCGCTCCCGCTAAACCAGCAGGGCCACACAGCTGTCACTCGGACTGCTTGGTCTACAGTTTCAAAAAATATTTTGTTGAAAAAACTTTCTAACTACTGAGTTAATGTACTGAGCTATGAGATTTTTCTGATAAAAATCAATAAATTTGGTCTTTCAGATTAATTTGAAACAAGAAAAATCTGTTAAGAGAATTAAGACACTTACATAAATCACTAAGTCTCAAAATTTAAAAAAAAAAAAACAAAAAAACCTAAGTTCATAATGATGACAATCACGGCTTTGCAAAGTTTTCCCATCGTATTTTGTGCTTTAGCAGAAGAATCATGTTCTGTGGTTAATGGCTTACACATCCTGTGAGCAAAATTTAGTAGGGGAAAAAAATCTATCACTGTTTTCTTTTTTTTTAAAGGTGTGTGTGTGTGTGTGTGTGTAGAAGATTGTTTTATACAACATGTCTCTTAACGTTAATTTTTTTCTTCCAATGAAAATCTTGAGATAATAGAGGAAATAAGAAAAGCAAAAAAAAAACTCACAATATAAATTCAATGTACTAAAGTATGAGAAAAGTATTCAAAACACAGACACCACCTAAACATTTTTAATTATGACATTTTAAAATAGCTTTAAAAGTAAAGAGGAAAGGAGACAAATTATTTGTTAGTGCTTTCTTTGCCCACATCTGATAAGTGAAAATAATTAAATCGGGATATGCTTTTAAATAAAAAATTTAAAAATAAATAATCTCTTTCATGTTCAGTCTTTATAAATAGCAAGTTTAAATACTAGATCTTCAATTAGAACTAATGTTACATCACCATGAATTAGAAAAATACACATTTTTCAGTCAAATAGCTAATAATAGAAAAGCTTTAACTTTACCATACCAAAGTGGAGTTTCACAACTTGCTTTCATATACTTACAGGCAAATAAACCGACCTTCATCACCCTCCAAAACAAAAAGAAAAAAACACAAACAGAAACAAAACCACCTTTACAAAAGAAGGTCACGAATGTTAAATACAATCAAGCTCCAAGCATGTCAGCACTATGATTTATACAGGCGTGTATCCTCGCAGTCCAGGAGTCCAGGTGTGCTCAGCACAGGGTGAGTCAAATGTAAACAAGTTAAAATGTCTGCCAGAGAGAGCAGTCTTAATTGCTTGGTATTTCAGAATGAAATGGTTTCCACTGATTACAAAAGCTTTAAATTAAGCTTAATAAATATTCGAAACTGCCCTAAATAAAAACAGGCAGTGGTGCTTTTCTAAACACTGCTTTGCTAACATCAGTGACTCTGGAAATTTCAAACTTATTACAAAAATAGAAAGAAAAAAAGGAAGAAAGGAAGAATCCAGAAGAGTGCTTTATTCTGTTTCATCCACTTCAATGAAGATGTCATTGAAGACAAACTCCGAGACTGTGGTGGCCTCCTCCTCACACGCCTGTTGTGGCCCACTTTCACATTTCTCTTTAAGAGACGGCTGATCAGAAGAAGCCTAGGAAGAGAAGAGAACTAAAATGTCACAGAGTGTGTACACACTGCCAGCGAGGACTGCATCTGGAGCGCAGAGGTACAGTGAATGCCTGCCTAGCAGGTCTGAAGCCCTGGGCTCAGTCCCTAGTCCATCTTCCAGAGGACCCTGGTTCAATTCCCAGGACCCACTTGGCAGCTCACAACTGCCTATAACTCCAGTTCCTCATACAGACATACATGCAGGCAAAAATCATGAATGCACATGAAATAAAAATAAATAATTTAAAAAAACCTAAAAAATGTCTGCATGGTAAAAGTAAAAATAAACAAAATAAAAACATATGGCATATAGAAAACACTGCAGCCTTTATCACCAAATACACCTTCTCTTACTATTCTTAAGGTCTCTACAAATCTTATATATATATGAGTCAAGTTTTTAAAAAAGCCAAATACCCAGAAAACAGTATGAATGACTCACATAGAAGTTAAACCTCACACAGTAAGACTATCTGCTCATAAAGGCTATGGAGAATGAACTGGCATGGTGGTGCACTTCTATAATCTTAAATCCTGGGATTCTAGCTAAAGGCCATCTTGGGTTACAAAACAAGATCATGACCTCAATCCCATAAACAAAGGTATGTGTACAAGGTGGGGGCAGAGAGTACATTGGTAGTGTAATACCTGAAAGCATGGTAACAGATGTGATCCCTATAGAGACAGAGCAGGGAGTATCTATCAAAAGAACAACCGCTCATCATTCCTTTTGACAAAGCACTTACAACTGTATCTCTTAATAGAACAAGTATTTGTAGGACTCACTGGATAGCTGTACTCTATACTGTTCTACTACTATCTATTAGGTCTACAGATGAACAGGATTTACTTACAAGACAGCAATTACTGTGCTGTTTGACATGGAACATAATTAGGAACAACCTAAATGCCTAATATAAAATTGGTATTACTAAGTAGTACAACCCAATAATGAAATGCTACATAGTCATTACAGACAGGCCAGCGTGTAGTGGCACAAGCATGTAATTCTCACACTCAGAAGACTTAGTCAAGAGCTTCATTCTTGAGATTTTTGTCTTAAAAAAGAAAAAAAAGGGAAGAAAACAACAAAAACATCAACAATAAGGATACTTTCAGACACTTACCACTAAAAAATAAAAATATGTTTATATGTACACAAACATGAAGTGTTTACATCACCTCTGCTCACAATAGTAAGAAACTTAAAACAACTAGATGTCTTTCTACAGGGAAGGACATTTAAAAAAAAAAAGTCTGAGTCTTTAATCCCGGCAGAAAGGCAGATCTCTGAGTTCAAGAATAGCTTGGTCTACAGAGTGAGTTCCAGGCTAGTGTTAAAAAACCCCATTCAAATAAAAACAAACAAAAATACACTGTGACACATTTACACCACACCACTATTTTGCAACAAAAAGTAACACGCTACTGACTCAGAGATAGATAGAAACAGCACAATCTCCAGGTTAGCCAGAAAAATCAACAAATTACTAATATATCTGAATGAATATTCAGGAAGCTCTATTGGTGGGGGAACCTAATCTGAAATGTGTACTAGAATGTATGCAACATTTCTGAAATGACAGACTCAATGAACAGATGGTTAAGAAGGGAGTGGAGGAGGAAGCAGGCCCGTATACACAGAGGGACAACACAAGGGGTCTTGGCAGCTGTTCTGGGTTGTCATTGGGCCAAGGTCAAAGTTGGAACAGCATTTTACAAAATGTTGTTAGCACTGAGGAAAACTGGGGGAAAGGTGAATGGATTTATTTATTTGTTTGTTTGTTTGTTTGTTTGTTTATTTATTGTGCTGTGTCTTACAACTACACACAAAATTTGCAATGATCTCAAAAATGGAAATGGAGTGAGACTGAAAGCTGTACTGTATTTAACAAAGGTGTGCTAAGACATACGGGGGCTCTGTTGTCGCTTCTGTTTGTTTAGACAAATGCTCATTGGTAGCATGTTCCTAGAATGCATGAAGCCCCAAGTTAAATCCCCAGCACTGTAGGGGGCTGGCTGGTCCTTGCCCTTAGACAGCTGCAGATGCACAGAAATGACATACAAACATTCTACAATTATGCTTCTTTGAATTTTTATGTGCCAGAACATTCCTCCTAAGACAAATAAAGCTACAAATAGTACTTCATTTTGCTTCTATAGGTCAGCAGAGTCTTTGATTTGAAGGAATGACAATTGAGTATCCCATCGATGGCTAGTTCAATAGCTTACACTAAATTAGCTGCATTTTTGTGGTAAATGGAAGTAATACTGAAATAATTTCTGATCTGCAACTGAAAATAAATTGCTACATTTTCCCTAGTTGAGATGACATATAAAATACAACAGCTCTTTTTTTTTTTTTTTTACCATGCAACAACAACAAAAAATTGTTGCATGGTTAAAAAAAAAAAAAAAACAAAAAAAACACCAAACACATACCTGAGCTGCTGACTTTCCAGTAACATCAGACTGAGGATTCGTAATACTTGGAGATGGAAGTGGATCAGAAGAAGATTCTTCACTTTTTTTCTGGCTTGTATTAAGTAGATTAGGTTTTTTCAAATTTCGTCGTAATGCAGGTATATGGGGCTTTAGGCGCTTCTTACTATGGGTTTGAGCCGCTTCATCAGCGTCCAAACTATTTTTTGGACATATTAAAGACAAAAATCCCAAAGGTCTTCTGCCAGGTCTAGAAATGAAAATACAGAGACATTTAACAAGTATGTACACAAACACACACACAAACTCTCTCTCTCATAGGAGGTCTTTCTATGTAGTCAGGATCTTCCGGACTCAGCCTCTTAGTCCTGTGATGCTACAGGCATGTGTTACACACTCAGCAAAGCACACTCCTATGTAGTGGTGCACATCTTTAATCCCAGCACTCAGGAGGCAAAGGCAGAGTGAGTTCCAGGACAGCCAGGGCTACAAAGAGAGACCCTGTCTCGAAAAACAAAAAACAAACAAAAAGAACTAAAACAAAGAAAAGACACGTTCTTAATGTAACTTTATTTGCATTAATGCTAAAGTGGTGCACTGTACTAAGTACTGATGACACTATGCTATGATGTCTGTCTATGACAGGGGCAAGGCTGCCCAAGCTGAAAAGTGCACACAAGTCACCTGGGGTGCTATTAAAAATGGAACTCAGAATCTGAAACAAGTGCAGCCTGAGTCAAATGGCATCCACAGTGCAAACGCACTCTGACTGTAAGACTTAGGATGTGCAGTGTTCATGGCACAGCCGCTCCTGTGCTGCAAACGAAGCAGGATAGCTGCAGTAGAAAGACAGGGCTCTGCAGCCTAAGTAGATCCTCTGGGAGCTATTTCTAATAAAAGTTTACTACTCTGCCCTTCCTTTGGCTTCTGAACTTGTTTTAAACCTGATAGTACTTTCTTACTATTTTCTAATTTCAGTGAACCCTAAAGGTTAGAAAAGATATTAATGAGCTTTACTTTCTGCATTTAAAAATAACAAAAACAATAATAGATTGTGGGAGAATTGTCTGTATTCTGTCAATCATGTTTTAAATAAACGCTGATTGGTCAGGCAGGAGATGTAGGTGGGAAACCCAGACAGGAAGTGGAAATGATGCAAGGAGAGCAGGAGAAATTCTAGGGAGGAGGAGGAAGCTGATTCCCCCACTCCTGTCCAGACTACCAAAGCAGCAGGATGTGAGCTGCCCCACTGAAAAAGGTACTGAGCCACATGGCTAACATAGATCAGAAAAATGGGTTAATCAAGATGTGAGCATTAGCTAGTAAGAAGCCTGGCCTAAAGGGCCAATCAGCTTTATAACTTACAGAGATCTGTGTGTGATTTTTCTCTGGAACTAAACAACTCGGGGGCTGGGCAGGACAGAAACACAAACAAGCAGGCCCGGCTCTTCATGTTACAATAGATGAAATAAGCCCTTTTTGAATAGGGTCTCTTTTTCTGTTTGTTTGTTTTTTGAGACAGGGTTTCTATGTAGCTTTGGAGCCTGTCCTGGAACTTGTTCTATAGACCAGGCTGTTCTCAAATTTATATAGATCTGCTTGCCTCTGCCCTCCACCCCAGATGCTGGGATGAAAAGTGTTAAGTGACCACCGCCTGGCTAAATAAGATTTCTTTATGAAGCCCTAGGCTGGCCTCAACTCAAAGATCCTTTTGAGTTGTCTCCCCAAGATGCCTTTGCTGTCCCCCTAAGTGCTGGAATTAAAGAAGTTAGCTACCACAGCCCAGCTTGACATAAGCCTTTTAAAGACATTCATGTCTTCTCCCCTTAGTGGAAGTTAGTGACTGCTGTCCTCCACTTACCAGGTTAAAGTTTCTGATGCAGCCGACAAGCCTGTCATTACCAATTACCCTAAAGACTTCTTTCTAGTGTATATAGGAAACAATGTGATAGCAGTAGCTATGACCCTAAGAAAAACCAATACTACAAGCCTAAGGGGAAAAAATGACATAGTATTTGGAAATTGAATAAAACAACTTCCAGAGCCACTGGACACCAACTCTATGTTGTCTCATAGACACATAACTGATGGAGGCTACATCTATAAAATTACTAGGCTCTGGGTTTCATCTCTGTTATGCATGTTACATACTTACCTGGGGACAGAGAGAAAGTCACTAGAGAAATTCTAACAATACCTGGTCAGAGAGGGTTTTGAGGATGACGGCATGCTATCCCTTAGTTCCGAACTGGAAACAGGACCAGTCTTCTCTTCTTTATCAGACACCATCTCATCCTGAGGCAACTGAGTCATGGTCTTTTCCACACACACATGTTTTATTTCATCAGGAGATCTCGATTCTGCATTCTGAAAAGTTGGTTCACTGTATTCCTTCTGAGGTTTAGGAGATGTATGTGTGCTCTCTGAAGTAGGGAAAATGCCTTGTCCCATGCAAGAGTTTTCTTCAAAGAGAAAAAAAAAAGAGAGGAGAATAGTGAAATATTTAAAAAGTCAATTAAATTGGAGTATCTGAGGTATTCATGGTGTTCTATAAACCTAGCTCAGCAAAAACAATCTATATTATATCAGTGGAGTAGACTATTAGGAATTACCAGTTGAAGTAGAGCATGCTGGCTTAAGCCTGTAATCCCAGCACTCAAAAGGCTAATATAAAAAGACTGCTGCGTGAGTTTTAGGCCAGCCTGGGCTACACAGAGAGTTCTAGGCCAGCCTGTCCTATAGAGTGAGACCCTATATTAAAAAAAAAAAGAAAAGAAAAATGATTTGGGGAATTGGAAGTTGCCTAGGCATTAGACCAACAATAGCCTATGTGTGACACCAGGATCGACAAGTCAGGAAATGAAAGTATAGAATATCCCAAGGAGAAAATAAGCAAGAGCATGAACAAGCAAAAAAGAGATCATAGGACAGCCGGAAAGCATGCAGTAATGGAAAGACTAAGCAACAACAACAAGGCCAGCACTTAGGAGGCAGAGCCAGGCAGATCTCTGTGAAGTCAGCCAGCCTAGTGAACACAGTGAGTTCCAGGCCAACCAGGGCTACATTTTGTATCTCTGAGTGTGGTTATACATGCCCAGAATCCCAGCAGTTGGGAGGCAAAGGCAAAAAGATTGCCAGAAGTTCAAGAACAGCTAAGAATAGACAATGTTGTTGGTTTTTTTTTACTGTCTTAAAAAACAAAACAAATAGGACCCAGAATTATCTGTCCCACCAATGTGCAAACTGGCAAACTGCAACACAAAAACACAAAAAACATTAAAAGGCAAGTCAGCACCAGAACTGGGAAAGTGCAGGGCGAAGACCTCAAGTCTACTAGTAAAAATGATCAATGATTTCAAAGACACAAACATGTAAATAAATGAAGTAATCAATTCAGGACCCAGAGAAGACGACTTAGCAACATGGATGTAGCCAGATTTTGAGAGATGAGAATAGAGGTAGGGGAAAGCAGGAACAGGCAAAGAATAGAACACAAATAAAAGTTGGAAATCACAAAGTGAATCAAATTAAAACCACAGTGGAGAAAGCATTAACAATAGACTAGACCAGCTCTCTCCCAAAGATAATAACAAAACATAACATAGAACTGTAGTAACAGAAATAGCATGTATGTATGTGGATACAAATATGTAATTCAGTAGAATAAAGGAATAGAAATAAATACGCAATTACAGCCACCTGATTTTCAACAACGGAACTAAGACAACGAAGAAAAGAGAGCCTAGTCTCTTCAATAAAGTGCTGAGAAACTTCACTGTGCATGCTGGTTACTCTCATTCAGAATGAAGCTAATTAGCTATCTCTTATCCTATATAAAACTCAATTTAAAATGTATCAAAGACCTTACTGTAAATCTGAAATACCTGGAGCGAAATGCAAGAAAAACACTTCAGAATACAAGCATAAATGAGGGATTTTGAATGATATTATTCCCCTTCAAATTTAGTGTATCTGAGGTTTGTCAGATACCTGTTTTACACAAGGTATGGCTCTTAAGAAACTTTTAAAAAAATATTGCTAGTGCAATATTAGAAAGTAAGTTTCAAAAGAGAGTCAGTGGTTTAAGATATTAGATAAAAATGAGTGAGGATTTATTTCAAGCTCAAGATGCATCAGAAATAATCATGGGTACTTAGCAAAAATAAAGTCATATTTAAATTGATCTCACCTGTTTTCTTAAAAACATTGAATTCCTTTGAACATACCTGTTCAAGAAAATATACAAAGTTTTAGAACTTCATTTATTAAGTAAAATTAAAATTCTATCCCCTCCATCATGCTATAATGAAAGCTCTAGAGTCAGAATTATACCACCAATTAAACATTTGCAAAAGCGGCGCATTGCTGATATTAAACTGCTCTAGAGCACAGTAGAAAAATAAAAGTTGTTAAATGTCTTTTATCTCAGGCATAATATTGATATCAACTGCCAAATCTCGAGAGAGAAGATATCAAATGAAACAACTTTCCATGTTCATGGTGCTGAGTATCCAAGTCATGGTGGCACACAAGCTAAGCAAGGCTCTATCACAGAGGTGCATCTCTGGCCCCTCAATTCAAACACCTTTAAAAAGAGCCAATTAACAAAATACTACTACCATGGCCAATTAGTAGTCCATTTCTGAAATGTAAAAATGAATCAACATGATAAAAGTCTATTTCATAACTTTACAAAGTTATATAATTCAAAAGAAAATTATACTTATTAACAGAACTATTCGTACTTTAGTGGGAAAAGTAAAAAAGACTAAGGGTTTTGCAATGCTGCCCAGGCTGATTTCAAATTCCTGGATCCAAGCAAACGAAGCCTATACTACTGCTACTTTGGGGTGAGAACAGTGCAGGAGAAAGCTGGCTGTGGCAGTGCTTATCTAGAATCCCAGCCTGGAAGGCAGAGGCAAAATAATTCTGAATTTGAGTCCAGCCTCAAAATAAAGAAAAAGACAGGGAGAAACTTTGTGTATACAATATTTTATTGTTAAAATAAAACAAAGTTTATAAAAATAAAAACTTATAAAATATATTGACAAATAAGGCCAGTAGGCATTTTCCTTGTTTTTTTTTTTTTTAAATCTTATTATTCTTATGTATCTGAATGTCTGGTCTGCATGTGTGTTTCTGCACAATGTGAGGTCAGTAGAGGGGTCGGAGCCACTGGGACAGGAGTCACAGAGTAGTGAACCACCATGTGGGTGCTGGGAATTGAATCCAGGTCCTCTGCTAGAGCAACAAGTGCTTCATAACTGATGAGCCAAGGCTTCAGCCCCATACATATTTTCTTAATATATTAATAGCATTATATATTTTTCATTTGCATTTTACAATTTTAAGTCAATGGAGAAGGAGTAATGGGGCAGTCAAAAGACAATCTCTGCTGTTATCCTCAGGAATATTAATCACCCCTTTGAAGACAAATCACTCATTGGCCTGGTGCTTACCAATAAGCCTAGACTGGGAATTTCCTCAGGCTGCGGCTCTTGTTGCAGTTGCTGACTAGGATAGCTGTAGTTTAAAAGGCAGCAACCACTAAACAAGAGGACATCAATCTACCTCAAGATCCAGCAATACAATTTTTGGGCATATACCCAAAGGAGGCACACAACACAAAAATATTTGCTCAACTATGTTCATAGCATTTTTATTTGTAATAGCCAACAAGAACCTGGAAACAACCTAGATGCCCATCGGTCAAAGAGCAGATAAAGAAAATGTGGTTTGTTTACACGATGGAGCACTACTCAGCAGTAATTAAAAAAAAAAGACATCTTGAAATTTTCAGGCAAATGGATAGAACTAGAAAAAAAACATTCTGAGTAAGTTAACCCAGACCCAGAAAGACAAACACTACTGTACTTACTCATAAGTGAATACCAAACATAAAGCAAAGGATAGCCAGTTTGCAGTCCACAACCCCAGAAAAGCTAGAACCCTCATCCAGAAACAGATGGAAGCAGATGCAGAGATCCACAACTATATTGGGCCGAGCTACCAGAGTACAACTGAAGAAAGGAAGGAGCGTCAAGACCACAGTAGGGGAATCCACAGAATCAGCTGACCAGAGCTAGTGGGACTTCACTGACAATTGGGGTACCTACGTAGGACCAAACTAAGCCCCCTGAAGGCAGGTGACAATGGTGTGGCTTGGGCAGTATGTGGAGCCACTGGCAATGGGACCAGGATCTAATCCTAATCATGAAGCGACTTTGTGGAATCCATTCTCTATGGAGAAATACCTTGTTCAACCTAAGAGGGAGGGGAAGGGGCACTAGATCCTGCCTCAATAAGGAGTGAATGGATGGGGTGGGGAGAATGAGAAGAGAGGAGAGAGGGGGAACTAGGAGTGGCATGTAAATAAATAAATAAATAAATAAAGAATATAGAAGTTATTTCACAGCAAAAGAAACAGAAATACAGAAAAAAGTAATTCTTAAGCACATGGAAAGATGCTTAATTTTACCAATAAACACGAAAAATTAAGAATATGGAATATAAAACTTTTTCTATCGCATTAAATAACAGTGATACTTTGTCTACTACCAACAACTGTTGCCCTTCAACTTTTCTTTGGAGAACATAATTTTAAATTGACTTTTCATAGTAAAGTCACCAATTATGAGTATCAGAAACATAACAAAAACAAGAGGGTACTAGGAAACTAACAGTGAACAGGGACTGCATCTCTGAGGTCTGACTGGGCTCCCTGAGGTAACGACAACTGAGCTAAAGCAGTGATGTTTCGTAAGGAAATGCTCCATACAGATGGGACAACCAATGACATGGATCAGGATGTGAAGGATTACAGAGCATTCGAGGAACTGAAAGTCAGTGTAATGTGGATAGCAAGTGAGATCGAGACTAGTACAGAATGACACTAGACAGAGTGGAACATGAACATATGGGCTCAGAAGACAGAACGGAACATATGGGCTCAGAAGACAGAACGGAACATATGGGCTCAGAAGACAGAACGGAACATATGGGCTCAGAAGACAGAATGGAACATATAGGGATCAGAAGACAGAACAGAACATATAGGGCCTCAGAAGATCTGGTTGTATTCCCGAGAGCAAAAAAAAGGTTAACACAAAATGAAGAAGATATTACTATTATTTTTCACGCATCAGAAAACTCATCCAGAGTATGAAGTTGTTAATCTATAGCCCACAGTTACTAAGTGGGTAGCAGAGTGAAGATCCTGATTGAAATGAAGTTATTGGCCTTATTTTCAGTCATTGTAGGTCTCCTGATTAATGGTCATCAATTATTCTTTGAACTGGTTAAAAATGGTCATCCCAAACTACCTTCACCTGGAAAACTAATGATGAGAAGTATTAGAAATATTTTTCATCTGTTTGTCCGTCCGTACATGTGTGTGCGTGTGTGTGCGTGCGTTTGTGTACATGTACGTACATATGTGTAAAAATTTCAGGATAGATGTGAAAAATAAACAAATTCTTGACAATATAGCCAAGGCACTTGCTTAATAATCTAATCTCACCTCAGAGGCAGATTCTTGACAATCAACTCCGGGAGAAATTGAGGACTTTTTGGTAGGAGGTACAAGAATGTTTTCATCAGGACTACAGTGATTTCTCTTCCTAGATATAAGATCCACCTTAGGAGGAGGCTTTTCAGAATCACCACTTCCAGAAGGAGACAAGCATATGGCATCTTGAACAACTGAAGCTGTTTGTAAACTCTCACTGCACAAAAAACAACACATACAAAACCAATGAATCAGAAGCTACTTTATGAAGTAACTATTCCAATGAGAGTCCTGAGGGTCAGAAATACAAGCTAGTAAACAACAGCAAAAATAACAGTTCGGGATACACTCATACTTAAACGCTCACACAATTCAACAATACTGAATTAAATCTAAGGAACATATATAATGTGAATGTCACAGTACTAATTTTATAAAGCAAAGAACACTGACACAGAAAGAAAAGTATAAGCCCCAATATGTTATAGTATCTTTCCATACATAACTCTCAACAATACAGATCAATCAATCAATCAGACAGACAAAATACCTACTCACAAATACATAAAGTTTCAGTAAGATCAAATAGATTTATACACAGTCATTTAATAATACACCCACACAAAAGTTTGATTAAAGAAATCACAAGTGAAAATAAAAAATTCTTCTACTCCAAGGATTTGGGAGACGCTGCCATGAGAACGAGAACCCGAGCTCAGACCTGCAGACCCACATGAAAGCCAGGGCAGCACTATGTGCCTGTGACCTCAGAGTCTGACTGAGTGATCGGCAGGGGAAGGGGCAGGGAGACATTGGCCAGCCAGTCTAACTAAATCAGGGAGACACCTGTCTGGAGAAAAATACAGAAGAAGGGTTGAGAAATGCCTCAGCGGTTAAGAGTTCCTATTTCTTGGCTGGGTGTAATGGTACGCTCCTTTAATCCCAGCATTCAGGAGGCAGAAGCAGGTGGATCTCTGCTGAGTTTGACGTCAGCTGATCTACATAAAGAGTTCTGGGACAGCAAGGGCTATATAAATTCTGTCTAAAAAACAAAAACAAAACAACAACAAAAAGGGAAGAGGAGAAGGAGGAGAAAGAAGAGCTAAGCAGTGGTGGCATACACCTTTAAGCCCAGTACTCAGGAAGCAGAGAACTCAGGAGGATCTCTGAGTTTGAGGCCAGACTGGTCTACAAAGCGACTTTCAGGACAGTCAGGGCTATTTGGCAGAGAAACCCTGTCTCGAAAAACCAAAGTCTAAAAAAAAAGAAGAAAAAGGACTTGTTCTTGAAGACCCAGGTTTAGTTTCCAGCACCCACATGGTAGTTGACAACCATCTGTAACACCAGTTCCCATATAGAAAAGCTGTGCTAAGTAGAAAATTTATAGCTAAGACAGTTACATTAACACTAGAAAGAAAAATAAGGTTGGAGTGAAAGCAGGACTGGTAAAGAACTTGTCATAAAGAACATGAGGTCCATGTCCAGAACACACATTAACAAAAACTGGGCGTGGTGACATGCACGTGTTCCCACAGTTAGGGAGGTGGACAAAGGCTGACCTCTGGGGCTTCTTAACAAGCCAAATTGACCCATCTGGTGGGGTCCAGGCCACTAACAGATCCCACCTGAGGAATGGCATCCAAAGCTGTATTCTGGCCTCCGTGCACACAGGCCCCACACAAAAGAAAAACATCAAAATATAGTGAGCAACCAGAGCTTTAAAAAGGCAGTAACTGAATCCAAACTTGGTAGATAGGAAGTGAAAGAAAATAGGAAGAAAGAATGAAATAAACTAGTCTTTGCCTGACAGCTAACCTATCAAAACAGAGAACACTGCTCCCAAAATGCTGACAACAGGGTAGATAGTATCACCGAAATAAAAAGGATCATTAATACTTTAAAAACCGTAAGCCAATAAGCTGGAAACTCTAAAATAAATTCATAAATGTCTGGTGTATGACCTACCAAAACCGAAGCAAGAGTATATTGGAAGGAAAAAAAAACTACATAGAGTAATAACCACTACAGAATTAAAATTGAAGTAGTAACAAAAAGTAACTCAATAAAGACCTCAGAACCAGAAGAATTCACTACCAAATTTTACCACACTTAAAGAAAATCAATCTACTCAACAAAACTCTTTCAAATTTACTCCATGAGTAAATTACTCAAATTGCCTTACAAAACCTGACGACAGAGTAAAACAGCTATGACCAACAACATTCTTGCTGAATATAATGCAGAAATCTTCAACTAAAGATGTGTAGAAATAATTAAAGAAGCACTCCTCCCTTGTAATGCCTCATATTCTCTTGAGGTCTTTCTCACTTTTCCTTAATCTATGTTTACTCAGATGAAAAAAAAGTATCTTAAAAAGATCATATATCATAATAAAGTTGATTTCATCCCAAAGAGTGAGAATGAATTAACATATACAAATCAATAGCTGAGCTTAAAAATACAATCAAGAATAAATATCATATAATCATCTCAATAGATGAAGAATGAAGTCTCTGATAAAATTCAATATACCTCCATGATAAAAACCCTTCAATTAAGTATATATAGAAAGGTAATATTACAACACAATAAAGGCTACATGTGACAAATTCACAGATAACAGAACAAAAATGAAAGCATTTAATCTAAGATCAGAAATAAGAGAGATTTCCACTCTTTGGTTAATATAATATTTGAAATTCTAGTTTTAACAATTAAAAGAGATGAAAGAGACATAAAAAGAAAAGGAAGTCAAATTATCCTTATGTGAGTCTACACATAGAAAATCCTAAATATTGTATACAAAGACTCTTAGGACAGGTAAATAAATGCAACAAGGCAGGATATAAAAATATACAAAAATCAGCTGGGTGCTGGTGGCACACGCCTTTAATCCCAGCACTCAGGAGGCAGAGGCAGTCGGATCTCTGTGAGTTTGAGGACAGCCTGGTCTACAAGAGCTAATTCTAGGACAGGCTCCAAAGCTACAGAGAAACCCTGTCTTGAAAAAATCAAAACAAAACAAAACAAAAACCCAAAACAACAAAAACCATATTTCTATATACTACTACTACTACTAATAATAAACAACTCATTGAGAATGAAACCAGGAAAAGAACCCTATTCATAAGAGCCTTAAAAACAAAACAAAATATCCCACAGCAGGTAAAAGACTTTAGTGATTGAAATGACAAACACTGAAGAATCTGAAGACACTAAAAGATGAAATGACCACCCAGGTTCACGGATCAAGGGACTTAAAATTGCTACATTGGCTGTAGTGTTAGATTTTTGTCAACTTGACAGAAGTCAGAGTCACCTGGAAAGTGGAACCTCAATGGAGAAAAAACTCACAAACACTGCCTGTAGGCAAGTCTGTGGAGCATTTTCTTGATTAATGATTGATAATGGGCCACAGGGAAGGTACCAGCTCTGGGCCAGTGCCCCTGGAGAAAGCAAACCAAGCAAGTCAGTAAGCAGCATTCCTCCATGGCCTCCCCTTCTGTCCCTTCCTCCAGTTCTGACTTCCCTCAATGACGGACTATAATTTGGTTTTTTTTAATTAATTTTTATTGAATTCTACATTTTTCTCTGCTCTCCTCCCTGCCTCTCCCTTCCCCCCTTCAACCCTCCCTCAAGGTCCCCATGCTCCCAATTTACTCAGGAGATCTTGTCTTTTTCAACTTCCCATGTAGATTAAATCTATGTATGTCTTAGTGTCCTCATTGTTCTCTAAGTTCTCTGGGATTGTGGTTTATAGGCTAATTTTCTTTGCTTTGTGCTTAAAAACCACCTATGAGTGAGTACATGTGATAATGATCTGTGCAGTGAGTACACAGGTAATTATCTGTGACTGGGTTACCTCACTCAAAATGTTTTCTAGCTCCATCCATTTCCCTGCAAAATTCAAGCTGTCATTATTTTTTTCTGCTGTGTAGTACGCCATTGTGTAAATGTACCACATTTTCAAAAATATGGAACGCTTCACAAATTTGCATGTCATTTGTAAGGTAAAAAAAGAAATCCTTTCCTCCCTCCAAGTTGCTTTCGATCACACTGTTTTGTCACAGCAAGGTTTCTCTCCCTCCTGCTGGTTCCCAAATAACCACTCTAAATAATGCAGTATCAGTTATATCAAAATTCTATCTTATTCCAGTCTAAATAGCTAGTATTGTACAAAACAAAAAGTAAAAATGCTGGCAATGATGTGGAAAGAAGAAACCCTTATACATCACTGCATATAAAATCAGCGCAGCCATTACAGAAAACCAGATGGAAGTTCCTCAAAACTCCAAGCTTTCTCTTTCTGTCCCCCCTTCTGAAGAGATAACTACTGCCTCCCTCTCCCTCCACCTCTCTCCCCCTCTCTATCTCTCTCCCTGTCTTCCTGCACCAACTTCCTCAGGCCTGCGCATGTCTCTCTCTCTCTCTTAATAAACTCTTAAAGTGGGAAAAAAAATTATAAAGATAGGATCATCTACCTCATGATCCACATATACACAGAACTGAAGGAAATGAAATCAGCACGTAAAAAGAAACACCATGCTTTTTGTGATACTATTAATGGCAGTCAAGTTAAAGAAACCATGGCATCAAACTAAGTACCCATCAACAGACAAGTACATAGAGAAAATGTTTGGGCATGTACCACACACACACACACACACACACACACACACACACACACACACACCCCTTTTATTCAACCAAAAGAAAAACTGAAATTTATTACTAGCAAGACAATGAACAGAACTGGAACATTGTGCTATGTGAAATAATCCATAAACAGAAAAACAATCACATTTTCTCTCATATGTAGACATTAAAAACAAACAAACAAAAAACTAGAAACAAAGAATCTCACAAAAGCAGCAGGACTTGGGACAAAAAAGAGAGAGGAGCAGTCCAGAAAGTGGAAGAGGGAGGAACAGAGAACAGACAGGGTCCAACCACTATATATATGTATACATGGAAATGGCGGCATTAACAAATTAATAGTTGTGATTTTATGAAAAGAAACATCAGTGCATAATTAACTTATTCAATACTTGATTCATAATGTGCCTTTCCTCCTGGGAAAATAGTTTGGCTCTTTTGTTTTGTTTTGTTTACCTGTGGCCACCTCTTTTTACTGTGTTTCTAGATTTGACCAATATAGGTGCTGGCAGTAGAGAGCTTGGCATTAACTGCATGGAGGCATCAGTAAATCCTTCTGTGGCATTAGTTGGGATTTCCACCAAAGTTAAAATGAATGCTTGTTCATCTTCTTCATCTTGATGTAGATTAGCAAATAGATTCACTGTCAAAGTTAAAAAAAAAAAAAAAGGAATGAAAAGCCAAACCAAGAAGTAGCCAAAAATCATTATTTCATCTCTAAAAAGAGTCTCACGACTTACAATGCCAAACCTAAATAAAAAACTAAAAATACATCCTTCAACCCCCATCCCAAAATTATGGACAGGAAATTTCGTGGGAAGCATTTATAATTTTTAATAAAATTGGTAAACTTCACACATATTTTATGACTGCCATTGCCAATGGCCTATTATTAAGTCTATAGTGTGCTTTTCCATAGTTACATGAAAGCAAGATGTAATGCTAGCAAGAGAGGAAGTGAGGAAGAGAGGCAGGAGTACTTCTGTGAGTTCGAGGTGAGCCTAGTCTACATAGCAAGCTCCAGCACTACACAGAGAAAATCTGTCCCCAAAAATAGATAGATAGATAGATAGATAGATAGATAGATAGATAGATAGATAGATAGATAGATAGATAGATAGATGAATAAATAAGCAAACAAACAGAAAAATAAAATTATACAGTACATTATCTATGATATTTGCTGGAAGCAGTTTTCATACCTGTTTCGTCTTGAGGATTGATCATATTTTCTTGTTGGACTTCTGGAATATTAGATGGTATACTCTGTCATCAAAAAAAAATTGAAAAGATATCGAGCTTGAGAAAATTTGACATATGGTAAAAAGACAGCATCTCCCAAGTTAAAGGCTTATCTTAAATGTACAATTTTAAGTCTTTTAAAGATTGTTGGTTGTGCCAATGAACACCTGACTGACTTACATAAGCTTTAAATATCCCAGTTAAGTTGTCAGATGTGAGAATTCTAGCGTTTCTGAAGTGTCAGGGTGGAGGTCCATGTTCCCACTGCAATGAAGATAAAGCACTTTCCTTGCCTCCACTATGGTCCCTCCTGCTTTCCACAAACTACCAACATATAGATTGCAATTCTCGAATGATAAAAATCTCCAGGATTTCATTTTTGAAACAAACAATGCCAACAACTGACTCAAGTAAGGGTCGTCAATAGATACCAAAGACAGTGGATAACAAGAGCTGGGTCTCACTAGACCAATTTCTAACATAAAGGAAAAAAAACAAAACAAAACCCTTATAACCAAGAAATCTCATAGATACCATCCTAGCCAAGTGATTAGAAGTATTTCCACTACTGGGTCAAAATGACATTATGCCACACAAAAGGAATGACAGAGCATTGCCTCTCTACTGATCTAGCACTAAAATTGTACAGTGTGGTCATTCTAATTCTGAATGCAGCACTCACTGACATTGTTTGTAAGACACAACTTTTTTAATTAAAGCTATTATTTATGGCTACAACTCATATTTGTAACTTACTCTCAAACAGACCAAGTCTTATTACATCTATTAATTCCTAAGAAGAAAAATAGTTGAGCATTAGCATTCACTACTCTCTAAATTAAAACAAAAAAAGATTTTTATTTTTACTTCTGTGTCTGTGTGCATATATGCTATGTGTACGGGTGCTCTTAAGAAGCCAGAGACAACTGACATGGGTACTAGGAATCACACTTGGATCCTTAGGAGTACATATTCTTAACCACAGAGCCATCTCTCTAGCCCTTATTCGTGAGCGTGTGTATGTGAGTGTCTGTGCTGCGAGCACTTGTAAAGGTCAGAGGAAGACTTGAGGGAGCCCATTCTCTGCATGGGTCTTAGTTGAACTCAGGTCTCGAGGTTTGGTGGAAAGTGTCTTACCCACTGAGCCATCTTACCAGTCATCAATCACTGAGGAGACGGCTCAGCAGGTAACCTGAGTTCATCATCCCCGGAACCTATATGGTGAAAGAAGCAAACTCCCAAATAATGTGTTCTGACATCTCAGCAAGCAACATGGTTATGTGCATGCATGCCTATGTGTGTAAACATACACACACACACACACACACACACACACACACACACACACTCTCTCTCTCACACACACACACACACTCACACAATTAAAGTATCTACAATGATGTAGAACCAGATCAAAAAACAAACAAACAAATTAAATTAACGACTCCAAAGAAACAGAGTATATGAAGTTCTTACAAGATTTTTGTAACTTTACTCAAGACTGAAATTATTTCAAAAGAAAAAGATTTTAAAAAATTAAAAACTTGGGAAGAAACAGAAATCTCGTAATGTTGGTTACAGACAAACTCCTTATTTTCTACTTCCTTTAACATATCACGATGTTCTATACCCTTTTTGTTTTGTTTTGTTTTGTTTTGTTTTGTTTTTTCCCGTTTGTTTGTTTTTTGAGACAGGGTTTTTCTGTAGCTTTGGAGTCTCTATCCTGGAACTAGCTCTTGTAGACCAGACTGGCCTTGAACTCACAGAGATCTGCCTGCCTCTGCTTCCCAAGGGCTGGGATTAAAGGTGTGAGCCACCACCGTCTGGCTTTGAGACAGGTTTTTACAGAGCCTCAAGCTTCAGGGCTCCAGGGATCCTCTTCCCTCAGCACAGGCAAGGGTCACCACATACTGCCCACAGTCCACTCTTGCCCAGGTCATACTAGGACCACAGATGTGAGGAGCTGGCAGGAAGCACACAGGGGCTACCCAGACAGTGCTAGAAAACGACTGATGAAACTGGTTAAATGAACATACATATTTGGGGGTTTTGTCTGCTTTAAAAACAGGGCCTTACAATGTGGATTAGAGTGGCCTGGAACTCACAGGTCTGCCTATCTCTCTCTCTCAAGTGCTGGGATCAAATGTGTGCACCACCACACCCAGCTTGGTTCTGGTTTTTGATATAAGGTCTTGCTATGTAACTCAGGCTAAACTAGTTCTTGTTACATAGCCCAGGTTGCCTTGAAACTTGAATACTCCTGTTTCTACCTACGAGTTGGGATTACAAGTCTGAGCCTCTACGTACATCAGGCTGAATTTACATATTAATAAGAGGCCCAATGAACTGGATAGGACAAAGTTTACTATATGTAACTGCTTTTCTAAATGGAGAAAAAGAGAACCACACTACCATTATTGCACTCTAGATTCCTTTACCTCTGGCACAGGAAGCATGAGCATGCTGCTGTCTTTAGAGTTTTCTGTGACGGGATCTTCAGGACTCTCACCAAGACCTGAATCAGGTGTGAGGATCCCGATCTCAGATGAAGCAACTGCAGTACCCAACATCTGAACCTCTTCCAAGTTCTCCTCTTGGTCTTCACTCCTGAAATTGTTTCAGTACATTATTTTAAATCAGTTAACCAAACATGAAATTATTTTTTAAGACTAAGTATTATCATTTAATGTGATATTTTCAAGCTTTAAAAGTGTTAACTATAATAGAATTCTTCCAGCTATTACCTGTAGCAGAAGCTAAGGCACAATATAAATGAAATGCCAGTATTCCTGCCCTTTTACCTTGCACTCGGGATCGCTTCTTGAGAAGCACTGGTAACTGCAACATCATGGACAGATGGCAATTGGTGCTGCTCCTTCGTTTCTGCTGGCTCAAGGCTTTTATTTTCTAATTCTATTGCTTTGGAGTCATTTTCCTCAGGCTCTTTAAAAACGAACAAAAAACAAGAAAAATACATTTAAGATACAGTTCAAAATTGCCAGGTGGTGGTGGAGCACACCTTTAATCCCAGCACTGGGGAGGCAGAGGCAGGTGGATCTCTGTGAGTTTGAGGCCAGTCTGGTCTACAAGAGCTAGTTCCAGGACAGGCTCCAAAGCTACAGAGGAACCCTGTCTCAAAAAAACCAAAACCAACCAAAGATACAGTTCAAAATAGTACACCTAAATCTCTATATTACAAGAATAATCTCTCTTAAAAGATTCATGATCCCTTCAAGTTTCTCATACTCCAAAAATCAGTTTATTCACAAGGCAGAAGAATGGGATTTGCCAAGACTTTTGAAAAGGAAATAATGATTAATGAAACCTATACTGTATATATTTCATTCCTGGCTTCCAAAGCAACTACATCCCCTTTTATGGTAACAGCACTATAGCATCATAATCAAAAGTAGTACTCTAAGTGCCCACCATCAAGACTTAGTTCAATCTCAGGACCCACACATGAGAGGAGAGAACCAACTCCCACAAGTTCTCACATCTTTTGTGGTACACGCACACTACACATGCACACACCCACACATTTGTACGGGCACACATGCATGTACATACTTACACATACACTCATACCTACACATGTAATACATGGTTAAAAGTGATTACAAACCCCCAACAAAAGAGGATTAGAAGTGAGTACAAAATGGTCTGTCTAATTTCACCACACCAGATGTCTTGAAGAAGTATAATTTGTGTGACAGGGGGCTCAAGGGATAATGGCATTGCCAACAAGCTTAACAAACCTAGTTCAACCTGTGAGCCTCACATTGTAGAAGAAGAGGACTCCAAAAAGTTATCCTTTAACCACCACCACGCATGTACCGTGGCAAGTGCACCGGGATGCATGTGAACACACATGCCTATACACACAAAATAAATGCAATAAAAAAATTTAAGTGATATCACAAAGGGGAAGGAAAGGAATAATGTGAACCTAGGCAGAGGGGTGGGGGTGGAGCAAACTGAAAGACCACACATGTACTTCTGGATACTTCTCAAGTTAGTTCCTAACTACCTGCATATACATATACTGTGTCAGACATTGCTGGCTGAAAGCAAACTCAGATTTCAGGAACCCAAAACTAGGGAGGAATTATGTTAATTACCCAGATTTTTTAAAACATGGATTCAATGATCTAGGACTGCTATAACTTCCACTGCTTTTCCTAAGGAATCAGAACTTTGACAAAAAGAGGGGGTGGAAAAAGAAACAAAACTAAGAGTTAACATGAACATCATAATAAAATAAGACCATTTTAAAAATGAGGGAGCTCAAGAGATGGCTGAATAGTTAAAAATACTTTTGCTCTTGCAGACGATCCAGGTTTGATTACCAGCTTCCACAAAGCAGCTCACAACCATTTGCTAGTCCAGTTCCTAGGGATCTGACATACCCTTCCGGCTTCTGCAGGAACCAGGTACATATGTGAGGCACAAATATACATACAGACAGAAAATAAAGTAAGCAGTTGGTGTACAAGCCTGGTGACCTGATTCCAATCCTTGAAATCCATGGTAGAAGGAGAAAACCAAAACCTAACCCTTATCCTCTACAGGTATTGAGTGGCACACACGCCCACACATACAAACACAGTAAGTAAAATTTAGAATAATTTTTAAGATATGTATCATTAGCTAAATTTGCAATAAAATTCTGTTTCACATCAAGTTAGTTACAATAGAAAAGATAAATAATAGTGCCTTGGAGAGCTATTCATGTAAAGGACCTTTAATGTTTGTTTACCACATGTGAGTCCCTGAGTTCAACCTCAAGCACCACTAAAAACTGGAAGAAGGCAGAAAATAAAATTCGGTGCAGTTGGAAGAGCGAAAAAGGAGGATTCCATGCTCAAGGCCCGCCTGAGCTATACAGTGAGTTCCCGGACAGCTTGGAATGCATAGCAAAACCCTCTCATTCGTGTGTGTGTGTGTGTGTGTGTGTGTGAGAGAGAGAGAGAGACAGAGAGACAGAGACAGACAAAAACTCTCATAGAGAGCAGATTAAAAATATAAAATGATGCAACTACTTTTTTATTAATTTAACTGCCATATAAAATATAAAAAAATCGCAGTAAATAACTGCTATCTTCTTAAAAACAACTTAATAGTTACACCAAAGATTAAACACATAGGCTGGGGTATCTATAGATCAGTGATACAGTGAATGCTTAGTACGTGTAAAGTCTAAATTCAACCCCTAGCACGAGAGGGGAAAAAAAGCTCAAAATAGAATTAATGCATGACCCAGAAATTCTACTTTGTTAAGTATAAACCCAAAAGAAGTGCAAACATATGCCCACCTGAATGTTTTCAGCAGCATTATCCATTACAGAAAAAAGGCACACACATCCCACATGCTCACCAACAGATAATAAAAAAATGTGGTATATTTATACAATGAAGTTTTACTTGGCAATAAAAAGAAACATGGGCTAGTGAGTAAAGGAAAATATGTCAATCAAAAAATATGACGCCCTGCAAAGGCAGAAGGAAAGAACCAAGTCCACAGATTGTCTTCCAGTTTCCACACACTCATTCCCCACTCCACACATACACACTATTGTGTGTAATTTGTTAAGGTATTTGATATACGTTACCAAATAAATGAATCCTAAAAACACTGTGCTAAGTGAAAACACCAGACTGAACTATATTTTATGTTTCTATCCACGAGACATGTCTAGAATATACAAATGTACAGAGACAAATATAAATTAGTGGTTGCTTAAGATTGGACAGTAGCTCTGATGGTGGCAATTACACAGTTTGGTGAACAGAACACCACTGAATTGTAAACTTTAGATAGATAAATTGTACTGTATATGAATCATGTCTCAATAAAACACAATACTTTTTGTTTAGATAGCCCTCACCTCCAGAGGGCTGGATTACAGTATGTTCTCCTTCCCTCTCCCTTTCTCCCTCTCAAAATACATGTGAACAAAATATTCACACACATAAAAGTTTAAAATAAAACTTAAAATATTTATTATTACAGGAGTCACACATGCTGTAGTGAGCATGTAAAGGTCAAAGATCAAACTCAGGTCTACAGGCTTATGTGGCAGAGCCTTTACAGACTGAGCCATCTCACACCCTACAGTCTCTTCTGTCAATGGAACTTTGTTAGAGAAAAATTAAACTCACCTCTTTGAATTTCCACTTCTGTCCCTTTGGTTACACAAAAACTGGCAACTTCCTGATGATCTTCAAGCCCACAGACCCCTAAGATCTTTTCCGGACTTGGTTCAGCTGTAATAAAATGACTCTCCATTCCCACATGTTTGGTCACTGCAGGAGTTGTGCTCCTAGAAGAAAGGGAATGAGAAGTTATCAGCTGTGTAAGAATCCCTTTGTGGTGTCATGTCTAGTGCTGAGACATACACCACCACCCAGGTGCACATTATATGTAATTGTTTGTTTGTCTGTTGGGACAAAATACCAACACAACAAGGAGCTTCCCTAAAACTCAAGCTACCTCCTGCTCCAGCCTCCAGAAAGCTAAATGCAGGAATGCGCCACCACACCTGGCAGACGTGTGTTTCTGAGTGCTAAAACTATGAAGTGCTAAAACTATGAAGTGCTTAAGTTACTACAACACTTAAGAAAATAGAAACCATGTTTGTAAAACAAACTACATTTATATAAACCTATTTCACTTAAGTTTCAAAGACACAGGAAATATATTGCTATGATTTTATATGTAAAATCAATAAACCAATATCAGTATCAGTTAATCTTTAATGTGTAAAAAATTAGCATTATCTACTTTAAATTTATATCCAAGCATTACTAGAAGCTAATAACTAAATTAATGGTGCTCTTTAACTGTATTTGTTAAATTGAATATTAAAATAACCTGATTGACAGAGTATTCGCCATTATTTCTCCCATGACATCAGCTTCTTCTCTAGTACTTTGTTCCTTCGATACAATCTTGTTTTCCTCAAATGATGCAGGCGACATACTAATGACAGGTGAAGAAACCTCCTGATATTCATGAACAATTTTGTGATTTACATTATCTGGGCTAAAAGGAACATGACTTTTATCCTTTGAATGAACATCAGGAAATACACATACTCCTACTGCAGAAAAAAATAGGAAATTAAAATTGACCCAATATTAATAGCTACCTGAATAAAATGAATTCTTCAACATTCAATAACTGTCTAACTTTAGTATTAAAGTTTATTCTATTATGATCTAAACTTAAATTCATTATCTCACATTTCATTAAAAAACTTGACTTGTAATAAGCATATTATTCTTAGCACTAAAATTCTGGAGTACTCTAGTAAACTTTCAATAACTATATACTGTTCTACATAGATCTCAAGACAGGACATCATCATTTAGTAATTTTTGAGAATTGTACTTTATGTACTAGAAATTTGTGACAGGTTCCAGTATAATATTCTGCCACTGAGAAAGAAGCCCTATCTGTAACACAAATTAGAGAATCCCCTGAAACAGTTATGAACTTACAAGCCTAACAACTAAAATGAATGGCAGATCATCCATTACCAGTCAATACAATTAGCTGTAGTTAAAGATAATGAATAAAGATCACAGCTTCTGGGGCAGGAATTTAGCTCAGTTACAGAGCACTTGCCAGCAAGTCCAAGGCCCTGGGTTCCATACCCCATTCCCCCAAAATAAAAATTAAAACAACAATAACTATATAGTTTCTAAGTTTGCTTAATGTATTAAAGCTCTAGACTGGCCTTTCCTTTGGCCCCTTTCACTACTAGAACAGTTTAACTAGAATAAATCATCTCAGTAACTACTATTTACCCCTTCACAGATTTATCAGAGTTATGATTATCATCTCAAGCAGGAACCCCTTTGCTAAATAAATGTCTACACAGTGATCAGTGGTCAGTGACCTCCATTAGCCAATGATGTTTATGATGGTTACAGGCTACAGGTACACAGGTTGAGGATTTACTAGATAACTACTAGATAACATGGATACAAATCCCACACCCTCCCCCTCCCCGCAACAAGCTTTGGCTGGCCTGGAACTCACTACCTAGACCAGGCTCGCTGCAAATTAACAGAGATCTGCCTATCTCTGTCTGCATCCCAATGGCTAGGACTTAAAAGTCACCAAGGCCTGGCTAATTATTCTAGTCATTATTTTCATTATTGTTGTTGTTATTCTATTATTTTTAGTTATAAGCCTAGCCTTTTTAACAGATTAGCCAATCTCCCCAGCCCCAAATTATTCTTTTATTTTAAATAATTTATTTATTTTTACTTTAGGTACATTGGTGTTTTTCCTACATGTATGTCTGTGTGAGAGTGTCAGATCCCCTGGAACTGGAACCACAGACAATTATGAGCAGCCATGTGGGTGCTGGGAATTGAACCAGAGTCCTCTGGAAGAATAGCCAGTATTCTTAACTGCTGAGTCATCTCTCCAACCCCAGGCCCCAAATTATTCTTACTAAGCCAACTGCATCATCTCAAAAGTGTTGACACTACATCTAGAGAGACTGTCTTCCATTCTTACCATCACCCTGTTCAGTGATGATCTCCGACTGCAATACTATGTCTCCCATTGTAAGCAAAGTTATGGCAGCTTCCGCGCTTCTATCACTGGGACCTTGAGAAAATATACCAATGTTAAGACAGGTCTGCTTACTTAGAAAGACCTCTCTCAGACACTCATTGTCTAGTAACCAGTTTCAACAGCCTTCCTCTCACCACCCAGTACTAGTGTCACACTGTCGAGGGTAGACAGACCATCAGTGTTGACTCTTAGTTCTTGAAAACATGTCCCTCACATTAGAAACCTCTGGGCAGCTTCACAGGAAACATAAAGTAACTTCTTTTCTTAACATTAACTCTAGGCTCAGCTACTAAAGCTAGGTTCGGAGAATCTCAGCTTCCTACCAAGGTAACAGGTTAATGCCATTGTTCTACACTTTAACAAACTGTCCTATTCACCTGCTGCCACTGCTAATAACCATGCTACAGTTAACCGAGTAGTTTTAATCGATTCTTGGTAACAGTTACCTGGTTCTTCTGGGGTCTGTTCACCTATGAGCATCTCCTGAAAAAATGAAAAAGATAAGAACATCCTAAGTGTTTACCCCAAACAAATGATATGCTTTGGTTATTGTTTTTTAAGCATCACATGGTACAAGTCTTTCTAGGCTTTTAGTTATAATAGTTACTTTTCTTAATTTATGTCTGATCATAAAGCTTCACAAATAAGAACAGAAAAACATAAAGGCCGAATTCTTTTATATCTCACATGATTTTCTGTCTCCTCATCATTACTATATATATATCTAGCCATTCTTACAATCATAACCCCTTTCAACTCTTAGTCAGATCTGCTATCAGTTTTTACCCAATAAAAACTAGTCTGGCCAGGGGTAGACCTTTAATCTCAGCACTCAGGAGGCAGAGGTAGGCGCATCTCTGTGAGTTTGAGGCCAGCCTGGTCTAAAAAGGAGTTAGTTCCAGGACAAGCTCCAAAGCTACAGAGAAACCCTATCTCGAGGAAAAAGAAAAAAGAAACAAACAAACAAACAAATAAAAAAACCTAAAATCTGGGAGAAGACACCAACTTCCTACACTGAGTAGGAAGTTGTGCTTAAAATCTAGCCCATTTTAACAAATGATGCACAGGAGACAGCTGTCCAGAGAGGTGGCATGAGGAGCTCCGCTGACCTGCTGTCCAGTAAGATGCCAAATATGACTTAAAAAGCAAACATTTATAACCTCTAGAATTGGTTCTAAGTGCAAAAACAAATGAGAAACAGCTATTCAGAAAAATCTATAAAAATTGGTAGCTAAAACAAGCATTTGTGAACCACAATTGCTCAATGGCCCTTTTGTCAGTAGCTAAGTGGCTAAGACTTCCTCTAAGCTGCAGTCAGCTCTCTCCCCACTATAGGTCCTGGAGGAGCAAGACTCCAGCACCTAATGCCACCATCATTATCATCAACAACAAAAACTCATAATATCTGTTATGAATATGGACATAAATACACTTGAAATATTTCTAGCAAACAATGTAGAAGTATAAAAAAATCATACGTAATAATCAAGGAGGAACTATCTCAGGGAAATAAGTTTTCTTCAACACCAAAGAACTATTGCTAATACAACTTGTCAATACAGTAACAAAAATATTTTTGTCTGTATCAAGAATAAAAATTAAAACCCAAAAACTACACATGACAAAGTCTAAAATCCTTTCACAACAAAACACACAACAAACCAGCACAGACAGAAGGGGTTTCCTCAGCCTGATAAAGATCACCCTAGAAATCCCACAGCCACCATTCCAGGGACATAAAATCAGCTGCTTTCCCTAAGACTATGACCAAATCAAGGATGTCCACTTGTACTGTGCCTAGAAGCTGATTTACAATAGAGGCTCTAACCAAGGCAATCATGCAAGAAAAAGAAATAAAACATATTCAAAATGGAAAGTATTATAAATTACATATAAACTGAATTTCAAATTTCCAAAACTGTAAGTGTATCTTCCCTAGAAAAAGTCTTTATAAATGTACTTGGTTTCAAACAAACCACAGGATTGGCCCTAATTCAGTGCATCAATAAAAGACACAAACACAAACAATGGGAAGAATGTCAGAAGGCAATGGAAGCCAAGGTTAGAAGGTCAAGAAATGATAAAGCACTAGCAACTTCCAGAAAAGCAGGAAGAAAGGAAACAGAAGCTTTCTTCCTCAGATCCACTAGAGAAACCTACCTGAAGAGGCTGCACACATGTGGTGCACATACATATGTAGGCACAACACATAGACAAAATAAAAACAAACATAATTTTTGTTGGTTTTTTTAAAAACAATTCTACTATACATTTATAATAGTGTAGTTAGTTTTGTGTAGCTGCTGTAAAGTTTATTTAATTAAGACCTATGCCACAGAATTTTGAGTGTAAATTCTATGACAATATTCAGAGCTTTAGAAAACAAACACAAAAATAAGTTTTACAATCAAAAGTAAAATCCATGAAAATTCCTATGTTCCAACTACTCATAAAACAATTCCCCACAAGAGAGGGAAAAAATAAAGACAGTTATGAAAATGATCCTGTACTCTTGAGGGAGGTAAACAAGGAAAGGCAACCATGAACACAGGTACTCACAAATGCTGGGGAATGCAAATCTTCTTCTGGTTGCACATCCTGAGTTGTTGCATCCGTGTTTGAAAGCTGATGTTCAACAGTTACACATCCTATGTCTGCAACATCCATGGCTATCTCAAGCTGTCATAACAAGTGTTATTATTTCAATTAGACAATACACTCACTAGAACATCTCATTTTTTTTCACACAAATAATTCAAAATAAACATTAAAATGGAGGAATATGCCACAATTACACAACTAAAAAACTAAGACAGTAATTCTCAGTGACTAACAAGTTAAAGTTAGCAAAAGTAAAACATTACCTTACCGAGAGACTGAGTCCACTACAGCGAGTACTCAAAATCTCTGCAGCCAATCTGCTGAGCAGCTGGCATTTCACTCCCCATTCCCTTCCTTTTGTCTCAATTTAGTCCATTTGCTAACATTTACATAACAGTTTAAAACATACAAGCATATGAGCATAGACATACAAATCCTAATTATATATACTTGGTCCTTGTCCTCAACAGACTCATACTTTAAGAAAAACACCTTAACTATACACAAAACTGTACAGTACCATAAATACTACAGTAGCGATGACTTACTATCACTCCTGGTAAAACAATCCTCTCTCCCCACCCCACAGTGACACGAATCCCGACACCCAAGGTAACAGGTTCACTCACACTCTTCACTTAACAGCTGGTTAAAGGAACATTTTTTTTTAAAGATTTATTTTATTTATACATGTAGGGGTCACTACAGATGATCACATCTGTGAGCCTGAAGAGGCCAGTGGAAGGTGTTGGATCCCTCTGAGCTAGAGTTACAGATGTTTGCTGGACATGGAAGATGGGATCTGTACTATGGTCCTCATGATTGGGCAACAAGAACCCTTACCTGATGAGTCATCTTTCCAGCTTAAAGGAAATACAATTTAGACAGTTCCTTGTTCAACTATGAAAATTTTATCATGACAGGCTCATTATAATCCAGAGTCCATGTCTATAAGGCCCTAATTTTGATTGCCAGAACAGGGAAAAGGACAGCACCACTGAAGAAGACACTCTGTTTAATTCAGAGACATGTCCTAAAGCCCAATTATTCACTAGCTAGCTAATTAACTAGCTAGTTAATTTCACTAGCAAAGTGGTGGTGGTAGTGGTGGCAGGGAGATATAGATCCAACTCTGTGAGTACTAACCAGCTGTCCTTCCACAAGACTAAAGTTTCTTAGGTATTTTCTTGGCGTATACTACAACTTACATTCAATATACTTACTTTGAACTTTCAGTATTATTCAGTTAATTTCAAGAATTCTACTAACTCATTTATCTTTAGACATTTAAAATGCTATTATTAATCCTAAGTAAATTACAGGTAAGTTTTCCTTTCTATTAACAAATGTGTCTTTACAGATTAAAGAATTGTATCATTTCTTAACAGAAGTAGCATAATATTCCTTGAATTATTTTTCTATCATCACTATCTTAGCAAACTCCTGATTCTGTTTTGAATGACTCAGAAAGTATTTTAAGTCCTGATTCAGATATTATGCTCAATAAACCAGCGAAGTGATGAACAAGAACAGGAAACTTTAAAGCTACAGAGTTGGAATGTGAGGCCAGAAACAAGGAAGCAGACTGTACTCTAGTTCACATGCTCACGTTAGAATGGCTAATTTCTTTTTTTTTTTTTTTGGAGATAGAGTTTCTGTGTGTAACCCTGGCTGTCCTGGAACTCGCTCTGTAGACTCAGAGATCCATCTGCTTCTAGGATTAAAGGTGTGTATCACTACTGAAAAAGAGTGGGCATACTGCAGCTGTGAAATAACTACCTATGACAAGGGGTCAGGGAGTGAAAAGAGAAGGAAAGGTAGGAGGGAGTGAGAAGGGGTAAAGAGGGGAAATGGATAGTGGTAACGATGGGGAGGAATTCACCTTAGAACAGCACTGGTGACAAAAAAAAATGATGTAACCACTGTGGAAAACTTTTTTCTTTTCTTCTTTTTTTTGCCTTTGCACAGCTTTATTATTAAGCTATGAGCATCCTGTTTGAGGCTAGTTTTACTAGCGGCTATGTGCACATTTGTCCGCAATCAATGAATCTACTCGTCCCCCTCCCCTTTCACAGTAGCAGGCTTTGCTTGTTTCTCTTTGCACATCCTTGGCTTTTTTGCTTAAAATCCTCAAGTACAGAATTACCATATATCCTAGCAAATTCATTTCTGATTTTATCTTCCAAAGAACTAAGAATAGAGAAGCAGGAACAGGGGATATGGCTCAGTTGGTGAAGATCATGCCAAGTACGTAAAAGCACTGGGTTCCATCACCAGCACCACATACCTGTAATTCCAGCACTTGGGAGGTAGAGGGAGGAGGGTCACCCTAGGCTATATATATATTCAGTTTCAAAAGACGAGGAGTTCTTTTGGATGAAGAGTAATGATAAAAATGAGGAAGGAAGGAGGAGAGAAGGAGGGATACGACTGAGGATATGGTTCTGTTGTAAAGTGCTTGTCTCACATACATGAAGCTGTAAGTTCTATCTTCAAGAAGATGTGGCAGCGAATGGCTACACATGGGAAGATGGACACAGGAAAATCAAAAATTCAAGGTCATCTTCTGATTACATATCAAGTTTGAAGGCCAATGTGCAATGTGAGATACATGAGACCCTGCCTTAAAACAAAAACAACAACAACAACAACAACAACAAACCCAAGAAACAAAAAAAGAGATGGGAAAAGCAGAGATTAATTCTATCTTCTCTACCAACCACAACACAGAAAGCTTATAACAGAGTTAAGAGAAAAACACCTGCTAAATCTTGTTTAAATTAGTCAGAACGTAGATTAAGCAGCTTACAGATACAAGTAGTTTACAGATAAGCAAGTTTCTATCAAATTAACCCCTGTAGAGGAAAGACTATGACAACTGAGTGATGGTCATACAGGCCACTTCTGCTGATTTCCTTAAGCTAGTCACACTAAGTCCCAAATAAACCACTTTTGACAGTAGGCATGTAGAGAAAGGACTTTTCAGACCGCAATTACTAAGAAAAGAAATAACCATTCATTAAAGGGGATGAAAGTGGGAAAAACTGAAAAAACGAAACACAAACTACCTCTTCCATTGTTTCTTCGATCTGAGCAGATACTGGTTCAGGGGATCTGAGACCAACAGGTACAAACACTGGTGCTTTGTTTAATTCTTCTGGGGCAAGATGATAAGTTTCCTCCTCAAAGTCAGAATCAAAATCCTCAGCATCCTCTTCATCCTCTTTCTGAGAAGCCCGAAGAGTCACCAACATGGACTTGGAAGCTCTAGGTTCCTTCTTAGCAGTCTTACCTCGGATTCGTTTGGGTCCTCGCCCTTTGGTCACATTTGATTTCATCTTTCTATGTGCTCTTTTCCCACTGTGATCTATCTCACACTCAGAGGCAGAAGAGAGAGGTGTTCTTCGATGCACAGCAGTTTTGGAGTAATTTGATTCTTTCAATAGTTGTGGACTGCTGGATGTTGAACCAAAATAACATAGTCATGTATGTGCCAGGATAATCTCAAAGCCAAACTGTTAACAGTAAAATCTCAGTTCCAACCTTTAAAATAAAGATCTTGGGCTAAGACAACTCAGTGGCAGGGTGCTTGTCCAACATGTGAAGCCCTAAGTTCAACTCCCAGCACTGGTGATGATGATGATGGTAGACACATCTCTTATGATGCTAGAATTGGACCTAAGCCTCAAAAGTCCTGCACAAATGTGCTCATGAGCTATTCTTAACCCCACCTATTCTTTGCAAAACATATGTCATCAAAATAAGAAAGGAATTAACTACTACTTAGTATTTTATTCAGGGTGAATTCTTAGTAATATATCTATAAAGGCTGCATAGTAAGTTTTTAATACTGGCCCTATAGCCATGATAAGGTTATTGAGATAGACACAAAATTGGAAATAATTAAAAGACAAAATACATGGAACCAATCAATAATAAATATGAAATCAAACAGTGGGACTTGTTTATCTTACTGGGTAAACAGATTAGAAAAATAAGGTTCTTCTTCAAGAACTTGGGTTCCTTCACACTTTGTTGGAAATTATGGATGCACCCTTCATTATTGTTTACAGCCAAACTCAATAGCATTCTAATTACTGAGGTAATGCACAATATCATTTGGCAAGTAAAAGAACGTACACTGTTACAAATAAAAATAAAACAAAAACAAGGTTGTAAATAAAGAATACTACATTAAGGTGGAACTTCTTTAACAAATAAGTGCTTATTATCTCCTATTCTGAGTCTTCAAAATAAAATGTTACCTAATTTGTTTACTAAGATCCTGCTCTTCAAGCCCCAAAGATGACGTAGAATGGTCCTCCACAAGCTCGTCCCTGGCACCTCCTGACGGTACAGCTTTCAGCTGAGTAACACTAATGGCAGAACCTGATGCTTCAGGAGCTATACAATCTTTCAGCTGAGCATCACTAATGGCAGAACCTGACGCTTCAGGAACTATACAATCTTTTCTTGCTGAAACTTCCAGAGGCATTAGAATCTCTGTCTTTTCCTTAAAGAAAAACAAAACATAATATTATCATGGAAACAATCTTTATTAATACGTTTTAGCAGTCTGGCCTAGACCTCTAAACTTAAAAAGTCATAAGTGATCAATTTTCAAATCTGTACAAGCTGGCTTTTCACAAAAGCAAAAACTTAACCCATAGCTCTCCCTCACGACCCTGACACGACAGACTCACTAACAACACTATTTTTTCCTCTCTCACTTTTAGAGGAAGCTGGATGTCCAAGTCTCCTTTCTGCGGCTCATGGTCTTTTGGTTTTGGGTCTGTGTTCTGGTCTGTTGTGCCTTTTTCTACAACTGGTTGCTCTTTTCTACGGTGTGCTCCTCCTAAATTTGGTTTAGCCTTTTGGAATCGTCTTCTTAACAACTGTGCTGGACTAGGGATATGAGGTTCATTTTCATGCCTAAAATAAAGCACAAGTTATGGTGAAGACCAGAACTCTTCATCAATGCAACATTAAACAATTCTGGATTCAAACAGATTCTAAGTTCAAAGGATTATATATAAACTGGAAATAAAACCAAGCATGTAAAAATGAAACATTGCATTTTATATGTGAAACAGAAAATACAAAAGCTTTATATTATCCATTTTCTGCATACCTGTGGAACAGTTTATAGTATTAATCTTTCTCTACTTTCACTCACTAGCTCTGGTATTCATTGATGTCATATCACTTTAGTAATTTTCAGAGAAAAACGAGGCACTTCAAACTTGTCACAGTAGCTGAACAGAGATTTTATAACAGCATTTTAAACGAAAGTATCAACTGAGCTACAACAATCAGCATACACACAATGGTCTTGCTTGACAGCAGTTTATCTTACTACATTCCTTAAAGTTCATGGAAAGGTCTTATTGACAGGAAATATCTTAAGGATCTTAACATAATCTATTTCAGACAAAAAACAAGGTTTAAACATTCAAAGAAAGGAAAGCTACCAAGGTAGCTGGAATAGCTACCTAAGAACTTCTGGAAGTATCTCAGTAATAGATATGACCTAAAGTAGGATGCTGAAAATACTGATATAGGCATAGGGATACAGCTTAGTGGCAGATAACTTGCTAGCACTGCAAGACACTGGGTTCAATCCTCAACACACACATACAAAGCAAACAATTGTGTGTGTGTGTACATACACATATTAGTTCTTATCTATTAGAAACCAATCCTCAAAATACACAGAAAAGAGGAACCAATCCTACTAAGCATTCTGTTGAAAAAATACGAAGTTCTAATACGATTATGATGCTGGTTTATACATTTCAGGATCTGGAGTGTTTGGAGAAACAATTTAATTAAAAGTTATCACATGGGGATGAGAGTATAGCTAGTAGTAGAGTCAGTAGATTCAATCTCCACAAGGGACTCTGAAAACATACTTAAGTATAGGGGATGGCAAGGCGGCTCAGTGGGTAAAGCTTCTTGCCACTAAGCCTGACAAACCAAGCTCGATTCCCAGAGCCTACATGGTGAAGGAAGAACCAACTCCTGAAAGCTGTTGTCTGATCAGAAACCCACAGGAGTATGCGTCCCCTACCACAAAACCATAAATAAATTTAAAAGATATTCAAGAAAAAATATTACTAAGTTCAAAGGAGGCAACAAAATTATGGGCATAAAAATAAGGAGTAAGGTTTTCTTTTGTGTGTGTTTTGGTTTTTTTGAGGTAGGGTTTCTCTACACAGTCCTGAATAGCTTTGAACTCAGAGAGCCTCCTGTCTCTGCCTCCCAAATCCTGAGTTGAAGGGCATGTGCCAGGGCCAAGAATGAGGTAATTTAAAACCTTATTTAAATGGGCCTGCTGGCACAAGCTTCATCCCAGCTACTAAGGCTGAAACAGAAGAATCACAAAATCATGGCCTGTCTAGCCTATAAGCAAGTTTAAAGCCAGCCTGGGCAACTTAGCAAAATTCTGTCTCAGAAAAAATTAAAAAGGGTTGTGAACCATAACTCAATACTAGAACACTTGCCCGGCATGTAAAAGGCACTGGATTCAACCAATAGCACCAAGAAGCACACATTAAAAAAAAAAAAAATTGAGAATACTGTTACATAAAACCAATGGTGTAATAATGAGAAACTGTCTTTAACAGAGTTTATGCTTTTCTCATGAAAAGCAAACTCACCTTTTTTGTTCATCTACAGGAACCACGTGCCTGTGACTTTCATTCACTGTGTACTCTGAAACTCCAAAGGACATAGCTTCAACTTCACCTTCAATGTGAGCATTAGCCTGCAAAGACAAAACTGGTTAGTGTGATGGACTGATATTTTTTTTATGTTTTTCAGGACAGGGTTTCTCTGTGTAATAGCTCTCACTGTTCTGGAACTCAAGTCTGTATACCAGGCTGGCCTTGAAATCAGATATCTATCTGCCTGCCTCTGCCTCCCAAGTGCTGGAGATTAAAGATGTGCACCCCCTCACTCCCCACTCACTAGCTTACCTAAAGCAACAAATTTCAAGTTTAGGGAAGGACCATGTCTGAAAAAATAAAAACAAAATACCCTATATATACCTACATACACATGTGCACATACCCAAATTAATACGTACATTTACCACACCTGTGCACACCAATCTAAGAGTCACCTGTTATAAAATAGAGAACGTAAATTAATTGGCACTGATCACTGCTCAGCTGCACACTGCATGCTCAGCATGCACAAAGCTCTGGGTTTGACCCCCAGCACCAAAGTTTAACTATTTTTTTTTTAAGTATTTTTGTCCAAGTGGGGATCACAATGACTTTTAATCTAGGTTTTATCTTAATACTCAGAGAAAAGAACACAAAAGCAAAGACTACTTGCGATAAATATTTTGGGACATTATACTACTTAGATATTTTTTCTAGTACCAAAAGATTCAAGATGATGGTTGATTAAGAACCAGGAGGTGGTGACCCACACCTTTAATCCCAGCATTCAAGAGATAAAGACAAGAGGCTCTCCGTGAGTTTAAGGCCAGCCTGGTCTACAAAGTGAGTTCCAGGACAGGCTCCAAAGCTACAGAGAAACCCTATGTTGGGAAAGAAAAAAAAAAAGTTGATTATAAGGGCCAGCAAAATGGCTCAGAGAATCAAAGCACCAGGCATGACAACTTGACTCCAGTCCTCAGAACTCACATGGGAAAAGAAGATGGACGCTCACAAGTTGCCCTCTGATAGTGCATTTGTGCTGTGATATGTGTACATACACATGTACATACATGTACATACCTCACACACATACAATACAAATAAATTAAGTAAACGTTAAAAAATAAACTAATAGAGCTAACACACTTCTATAATTACAGCATTTGAGAGGCAAAGGCGAGTAAATCAGAAATTCAAGGCCAATCTCAGTCACACACTGAATGCAAAAGAAAAAACAAGAAATTGGCTAAACACAATAGAATGGTGGTACATGCTGTAATTACAGCACTCAGGTGAGGTGAGGACAAAGGCTAGTCTCAGCTAAATAATAAGACACCAAAAGGGTAAGAAAGGTTCTTAAAAAGGTTAAACTGTCATTCAAAACAGTATACTGCTTTGCAGCATAAGTGATATATCTGTTTCTTGCTCGAGAAATTTGTTACTGCGGTACGAAGGGAAAGTCACAAAACTCTTCACTAGCAAAGAGAAGGTGAGAGGACAAGGCAGGGCTGAGCTGTCATTTGTTGCATGTGCTAAGGATCAAGGCTCTCACCACTGTCAGGTCTTTTTTCGTTTCATCTTTCTGCAGTTCTGATCCTTCATTCTTAGCTACACCGTCAGCTTCACCTTTTTCTACTGTTTGCCTCTGTCTGGCCTTTTGTACATTTGGTCTTGGTCTTTGAAGTCGACCTCTCACTGGTAGAGTAGTTTGGCCCACACTTTGCTTTGTTTCCTGTGTGACCATGTTCATCTTCTGAGTCCTAGAAAAAAGGACAAGGAGGAAGGAGAGGTTGATTATAAAAAGTTGATAACTGTAAGAACATGAATTTCCTCCACTAATCTCTCATGAAAATATTTTTTCAAATCACTCTAGAAAAGTATCTTCTCATTACAAAAATATGTTATAAAAATTCGGGGAGTCATTGGAAAAAGAAAAACGTTATTTCAGGTTTGGGGATGTAGACAAACGGGAGGAGAACACGACGTGCCTAAAACAATGTATAAAAGTCAGGTGACAGAAGGGTAGGTGCCGAGAACAGAAGAAAGGGGGGAAGTGGGAAGAGGAGGTTACTATTTAGTAGACATGAAGTTTCATTAATAGTTTATGAAAAGAAAAGTGTTCTGAGGATGGATGGTGGTGTTGCCTGCAAAACAATGAGACAATGCTTTATGTCACTAGTTTTGTAGAACTAAAAATGGAAAATTTTATCTTATTTATATGTTTTGCCAATTTTTAAAAGGCAAGGACTTATACCACATATACATATATATTTTTAGTATGTTACCGTACATAAATCTTAAACAGTCATCAATCAATCAATCAATCAATAAAAGATGTTCAATTCCATCTGATTTTCACTTTTAGGTGGGTTTGCCCTATGAATTAGACAAATTATTCTCCAAAGCACTTTAAAAAAATAGAGAAATGTTTCAAAGAAAAGCCTCTATTATTTTAGGTTATTAAGGAAATATCACTGCTTACCCAACAGGAACAACTAAGCCATTTTCCTGCTTTTGTGTTGACTGAGAATCCTCTTTGGGTTCACACGAATTGGGTGGGGAAGAGTCCTTCCCAGTCTGCATGCTCGGCAGTATCACAGCATCCTCCTCCTCATGACTCGGGTTATCATTTTCTCTTGATGTCATTAGAAAAGGTACCTCCTAGAAGTTTAGAAAGAAGAAAAATTCACAAGTGATTAGTACAAGAATGAACTGACCATTCCTGTACACAAGGGATATAGGTCCGCTTCCTAGCACGTCTACTTGCAGAAACTCATCTCTTGCAACCATAAACAAGCACATAACGTGCATAAACAGGGACAGGCTTTCAGGGGCATCCTCCACACATAAAGGATGAATAAAACACTGGAACGATTAATATTAATATGATATTCAATTTTAATTTCATATTTTTGGAAGACATTGTTGGCACTGAAATCAGGTCCTCATGCATGCAAGGCAAATACCCTACCAATGAACTAAACTTAAATTTATTTCTTTCTTCCTTCCTTCCTTTTTCTTTTTGAGATAAGAGTCTCACTGTATAGTTTTGGCTATCCTGGAACTCAAGAGATTCACTTCCTCCCAGCACCTTACTCCTGAATTTTCATACAATGAAGAGACAGGGTCTCACTCTGCTGCCTCTTTCTGAGCTAATCTTGACTGTAACTCTCCAGTTTTGGCCTCTTAAATAGCTAGGACTATAACGTACAGACTATAACACACCTAAGCTTAGCCTTACATATTCTAGTATAAAACCACATTTAAAATGTTTTTCTTTGGGCTGGAGAGATGGCTCAGCAGTTAAGAGCACTGCCTGCTCTTCCACAGGTTGAGTTCAATTCCCAACAACCACATGGTGGCTCATAACCATCTGCAATGAGATCTGGTGCCCTCTTCTGGCATATAGGCATATATTCAGACAGAACAATATATATAATAAATTAATCTTTAAAAAATGTTTTTCTTTGTACTGAACCCAAGAGATGTTTAAAACATTATGTTAAGTGGAAATATCAGATACTAAAGGATGATGGCATTTAGGTATATAATACTTACACATCTACATGTGTTTTAGAATACAGACATAATTTTCAAAATTATGGATTTCATAACAAAAAAATAATAAAAGTAGTTTTTCTATAAAACTGGAGAAATACCCCAGCTGTTAAATGCACTGGCTGCTTTTCCAGAAGACCTAGGTTCTATTTCCAGCACCCACATGGTAGCTCACAGCCATGTAACTAATCTCAGGGCACCTGAAGACCTTTTCTGGGCTCTGTGGGTACTGTATTCATGACATGTACAGACATACATTGAAGCTAAACACTCACGCACATAAGCAGTTTAACTTTCACAAGGTTGGAGAAAGTACAAATATACAAGGAATTATTCTAAAGTATAAAATATGAATTTTAATTCTAAAAAGTACTTTAAAATACATTCAATTTAGCAAGGCCTGGTATGAAGACCTGTAATCCAGTTTCTTGGGAAACAGGAAGACGACAAGTTCAAGGTTTGTCTAAGTTATAGTGTGAGTTCAAGGGCAACCTGGGCAAACTTAATGAGTACCTGCCTTAAAAGTGAAGAAGGCTGAGAATACAACTCAATAAAAGAATGCTTCCCAACATCTGTGAGATCCTAAGGGTTAATCCTCAGGACTACAAGGACAAAGCAAAAACTAAAAACCAAGCTGAATGTTAATATTCCATTTTAGACTTTCTGACACACAATCTTAATCTGTTATGGCTAAATTAATGAAGGAAATAAAATCCACTTCAATTCATGTCTAGCATTTTGTTTTTCATGTTATCATAGTAACAACAAAATAAGGCACTATTATTCCATTTTTCCTGAGGAATCTGGTATGTCATTTGGCTAATGTGACCTCACCAGAACACCAAGTAGAACCTAAAATGTCTTAGATGCTTCCAAGATACACACTTGCCTACCAAACATCAAATATTTTAACATAAACTATATGGACTAATGAGGTACACTAAGCCTAGAACAATACTACACACCGTAAAAGTTCATTATATGAACTTCCCATAGTTTAACAAGCACAGTAACAACACCAGAAACAGCAGAACAGAATCATCACTCACATGCTGAGAAGAGGGAGAATCGGATTGCTCGCTGTCCTGCTGTAACGCAGCAGTCCCCACTGTGCCCGCTTCTGACTTCTTCCCAGGTACACAGTGCTCTGCTTCTGGGGTTGCTCTCTTTAAAGCTGCTCTTGACAAGTTTGGTTTTGGTTTTTTGAATCGACTTCTCAGAAAAGGAGCTGGTTTAACTTCGAGTGGCTTCTGTTCTTGAGGAAGAGATCTGCTTTTGGAACAAGGATTACCAAACTTGACTAGAAGGAATGTGGAGGCGAATGAACCTAGGACAATCTTAGAGATTGGCAGTAAGCTTTTACTTGTTCTTAGACAGGGTCTTTCTATGTAACCTAGACTGGCTTGGAACCTGCTCTATTAGGCCATGCTGGCCTTCAATTTTCCTTCATCCTCCAGCCTCTACCTCACAAATGTGAGGATTGCAGGCATGCACCATCGTATCTATATCTGCCTAATTCTAATTTTTAAGGAAAAAAAAATGGAACTATCCATTAAATTCTGAAAAACATTAAGTTGTACAATCCAGGTACAAACCTATCATTTTTTGTTTGAAGAAAAAACTGGTCAAACTCATGTTGACTTATGTGTTACAAGAAATTTGTTAATAAATCTCACCAATAGCTATCAGAATGGCCTTAATTCTCTCTCCCAATCTTGCATAAGCTGTCTCAAAATTTGTAACACTATCCAATTTATGTCATGGCTTGAAATTTCACTTGTTTTCGAATAATCTGCTAATGTAACTTTACGTTCTTTTTCTGTAAAGGCCCACAGACCCACACACTGTACCTGAGGCTAGTCCCGGACACCTGCTCCAGGACATCTGCAGGCTGTGCCGCTGGAACTGCTCCATGGTCTGCAGAATGCTGGGAAGACTTCACATGACTTAAGTGACTTGATACTTCCTTGTCAGAGTTTTCTTTTTGTTCCTCAAATGTAGGCATCACTGATATTTTATTGCTAATATTCTAGAGAAAAGTATCACAACATATCATCATAAACAGAAATTCTCTAAGTATTTTATACATTTTAAATAAGTTTATTTCTAAAAGTGATTTAAAAATACAGAAGTTTTTAACTGTTAAATATAAAAGTCAGAAATATTAAAACTTAAAATTCAGAATGCTTTCCCTTCATAATGTATATTAAGACTATTTCTAACCACAAATATCATTATATACACACACAGAGAGAAGAAATCCTCACAAATGCTTTTATGAGTATGAACTATAAATGACAGGAAACTTTCACCAAAATATTTAAAAGTGGAGGCAGTTAGGTGTCAGGGAGAATAAAAACATATACAGGTGGTTATGACCAAAGGAAATAATTTCAAACTATGTTTATACTCAGGTTGGCACAAATTTAGTCCAATTTCCTATATATATTGCTATCTAAACGAGTAACTTCAAACGGACATTATGATTAATAATTCTCCCACAATTAAAAAAAATAGTCTTTTTAAATTTTTAAGTGAATATGCAAGCTCTTCGATAATCTGAAATGAAAAGATTTAGGACTGGAAAAGATTTTAGATTTTTATTAGAAATTTTGAGTATTTTGGGACTTAAGGGTAATAATGATAAATTATTTTAGTAACCTTGCTGAGAAATGTTTTTAAATCATTATAAGACAGAGAAATACATACTTTTCTATCCAGTGAAAGCCCGGGGCTGCTGTCATTACTGCTGCTCTGCATAACATCTGCCTCGAGCTGCCTTGAGCTATGTTCCTCTGGTTCATGTTCTCCTGGAGAAACATCTACTTTTTCTGTTTTTCCTACGTCTGCCACCATATGCTTCCCAACACAGATCTCTCCAAGTCCTCTCTCCCAAGAGACGGAAGTCTCTCCTGTTTCCTTCAAATCTCCACCACTGTGCTCAGCGGCAGTCATGTCTGCTGACGCCATGACCATCGTGGAAATGTCTCTTTCTCCAGTGCCCTTCAGGTCAAGCTTCTTCTCTTCCACTCCCGCTCCTTCTGTGCGTGTGCTGCCGCACACACCCACCTCACTAGCCAGCTGCTCTGCTGGGGCTCCCACTGCCTTTCCTCCCAACTCTTCCACACGTGTTTCCGTTTCACCCATGGTTTTGGCCTCCTCTGTCTCCTTTACTGGCACAGATATTTCTCGTCTTTCAGTGTCTTCTGAATATGCCTCCCCTTTTTCAGTGCTGTCAATCAAATCTGTTGTGGGTAACTCTTTTCCAGTTTCTTGCAAGTCTGTCTCCATTTCACTAATTGGACTAACCTCCTTGGGGCCATTTTCTTGTGAAAATGTTTCTCTTCTTCCAGTTTCTTCCAAATTTGTATAAATTTCCTCTGTGGTACCAATCAACTCTGACACATTCTCCACAGGAGAAATCTCATTTAAAGATGCTTTCAAACCTGTCTCTGTTTCCATAGGGATGTCAATCATTTCTGTTCCCATCTCCCCTGGGGAAATATCTCTCCCTATTGTTTTCAAACCTATCTCCATTTCCATAGTGACTTCTGTCAGTTCTGACATCTTCATGTTAGAAGAGGTGTCATTTCTTCCAGCGTCTTTTAAATCGGATTCCAATTCGTTAGTGGCAGGAATAACAGTAAAATCAGCAGTAGTTACAATTGGTATCTTCTTCCTTGGCGAAGAGTCTAGTTTTGCAGTTTCTTCCAAAGCTGTTGTTATTTCTCCAAAAATAGGAACCTCCTCTGCCACCCCTTCCTTGGAGGTAATTCTTTTTCTTCCTGTATTGGGTTTTGGTTTCTGAAATCGCGTCCTTAGAACTGGAGCTTGCTTCGGTTTATTTGCTTTACTGTCCTCTTGAGTACTAAAAAAGAGAGACAGAAAGACAAATTTTAATCCAGACTACCAGTTGAACAGATGACAGTTAAGGTATCCATTGGTCTACAAGGGCTAGTTCCAGGACAGGCTCCAAAGCTACACAGGGAAACCCTGTCTCAGGGGGAAAAAAAAAGGAGGAGGAGGAAGGAGGAGGAAAGAGGAAGAAGGAAGAAAAAAGAAGGAAGAGTAAGAAGAAGAAAGAAAAAGAAGGAAGAAGAAGAAAGGAGGAGAAAGATGAGGAGGAGCAGAACAAGAACAACAACAACAACAACAACACAATAACAAGAACTCAGAAGATAAAATCTGGAGGATTTCTGAGACTTTGAGGTCAGCTGATCTACAGAGTGATTTCCAGGACAGCCAGGGTTATATAGAGAAACCCTGTCTCAAAACTGTGAAAATAAAACAATATTTTAATGGTAGTACATGTCTTTAATCCCAGCAATCAGGAGGCAAAAGCAGGAGGATCTCTGTGAATTTACATAGAGTGTTCCAGGACAGCTTGGTCTACACAAGACCCTGATTTTTGTTTTTGTTCTTTAAAAAAACAACCAAAAAGCATATTGAGGGACTGAGGTTATAGTTCTGTGGTAGTCAGTGGTAGAACACATACTGAACATGTACGAAGCCGAGTTTACTCACAGCACCAAAAAGAAGGAGAAGAAGAAGAAGAAGAAGAGGAAGAGGAAGAGGAAGAGGAAGAGGAAGAGGAAGAGGAAGAGGAAGAGGAAGAGGAAGAAGAAGAAGAAAATTAATCAAATTCCATGATCCCTTTGCAATTGCTACTTCGGCCTAGGCAAACTGCAGAAATTTGCAATCATATTAGCTCAGTAACATCTGCTACATTTACTTCGTTATTTCTACTGTCTTTTACTGTGTTTTACAGTCAAAACAGACCTGATGCCCTCAATAGTGAGATGAAAGCATGACTCAAGTAAGAAAATATCTTACGACTAAGAACAAAATTTGCATTTTATACTTTTATAAGACAATTTAAAACGAGATTTCTGTTATTATAGTTTAAGAGCACATGGTCTCAAGATAAAAAGACTTAGGAAACATCATGGAAGAGGGGGTAGAAAGAATGTAAACACTCATCTGGACATGGCATGGCCTTTGTCCTCATGAACTCACTGCAGAATGGTGACCTGCACAAGATTAAGCTAACAAGACAAGTCAATGTTCCAGCAGACAACACTAACTGGACTCAATGGGTTCCAAAAGCAAACAAACGAAGAAAACTGGAAAGGACGTGGGGATAAAAATAGAAGGGAGATGTATAGCTGTGGGAGGAGGTTGCAGGGGGTCTGGGAAGAGGGAGTCAAGGGTGGATAAGACTGAGATATACTGAAAACATGTTGGAAACCATCAAGGAACATCAAGGAACATATGCTCAGCAGGTAAAGGCACTTGCCACCAAGCCTGATGGCACGATCCCCTGGACATACATTTATCGTGGAAGCAGACAAACTGACTGACAGGAATAAGTCAAGTGTATGTGCACACACCTGCAATTCCAGTACCTGGAAGGAAAATGGTGGAAGAACAAAAGTTTACGGCCATCTTTAGCTAAATGAGCTTGAAGTTAACCTGAGCTACATCAAACAATCTCAAATCACCTCCAAAGACATACACATATATATTTAGTTGAAGTATACAGGATTTTAAATATTCTGAATTAAGTTTCAAAGAAATACTACTTTATCTAAAAGTCTTTAGAGTGCTCTTCACTCTGAGATGTTTTTCTTTCTCTATTACAATCTTCAACAGGACAGAGTGTTCAGAGTAAGTAAAGGGGAGAAACTGCCTATTATCCATACATTGGTCAAAATTAGAGAAAACACAGAAACTCAGAATTATTTCCAAGGCTCTTGGATATTTAAAGGTCAGAAGTATCACAAGGTAAATCAGTAAAGACACTGCCTTTACAGAGGGAAGTTGCTAAAGTCAGACTGGATATTAGTTACAAATATCCAGAAAGTGGGCTTGATGGTATGTATCTATAATCCAATTGCATGGGAGGTTATGGCAAGAGAATTAGGAAAAAGTTTCAGAAGAGCTGTCACCCTGCCTGCCACCAGTTGCAATACTTGGAAGAGCAGGCCCTGCACCTTAAGTGGGCAGCACAATAGAGCCAACCCCATTAGCGGAGGAGTGGGTGAGTCAGCCCCAAAGATGTGACCACAGGTGAGCTATTCCCATTACTGATCTGTCATGTGGCAGCATGAGCTGTGGAGAGCTGCTCCTCCCCCAACCCCCACCTACTGCAACAGAAGGGAGAGCAGGTTCTGTACCATGCCTGGGCGGCAAAATAGAGTCAATCCTGTTGGCAGAGGTGTGGGTGAGCCAGCCCCAATGTTGTGAGCATGGGAGAGCAGTCCCAATTACTCATCTGTCATGTGGTAACATGGGCAGGGAAGAGAGATGCCTTCCCTTGACCCCTAACCCCAGACCATCAATGCCTGAGGCAGGTAGGAGAGCTTGTTCTGAGGTCATAAAAGCAGGAGAGTTAGCTCTGCCCCTCTTCAGCAGCAGTGGTTGGTAGAGCAGCATTTGGGATAGTGGCCCCTAATGCATGCCTAAGCAACACAGTAGAACTGACCCTTAAGGCATAGGTGAAAGAGATCTGACCCTGAGGATGTGAATGAAAGCAGAACTGGCCCCACCCCTTGCTCATCACTGCAAGGGGTGAACTTGCCAGGACAATGCCAGGAAGCTCACCCTGGTGGTGAGGACAAGAGAAAGCTAGAGAGCTAACCAACCATGCAACTGCGCAGGCACGAACAAGGGTCATGTGTTGGCCCACCCCAACATTCAGCCTATCTGTGATTTGCTACAGCATGTGAAAAGACCTGTAGACCCCCAGGGTGCAGGATTTCCATAACACAGGGCAACATCAGGATAACTAAGAGAAGCCCCAGTGAGGACCCAGCATCAAAACTATCAGAAACCAGAGGCCCAGAATCAGAACAATGACTCTTTGCAATGAACATGGATAATAGGGTTTACTGCATGACTCACTGTGTCACATTACAGCTTCCATGAAGATACTGATTTTTTCCCCCTTTTTTTCCTTTTTCTTGTCTTTTCTTTCTTTCTCTTAAATTTTATTTAATTTTATTTTGGGGAGGAAGTTGCAAGGGCAGAGGGTGGATATGAAGGGATGGAAAAATGAATGAGAGGTGAGAGACACAAAGAATAAAAATGAGAAAAATGTGCAATAAATATCCAATACACTCAAAATGATATCTGAGTGATTATATCTTTAATTAACTTTATGTAATTAAAATATGTAATTTTTATAACCCCAAAACAATTGTTTTTGTTTTTATATGAAATACAAAATTTTAAATTCAAATTAGTAAGAGTATTTTTGGTCAAAAAAAAGAAGAAAAAGTTCAAGGTCATCCTCATCTACATAGTGAGTTCAGTCACCCTAAGCTACATAGGATTCTCTTTCAAAATAAATGAATTTTAAAAATTAATCAGGGTTCTAAAACCCAATAAACACTCAAAAAACTGAATTTTCTTCTAAGATACCATAATTAAAGGAGTCTCATTTAAACCTAGATAAATAAATAAAACCAATCTGCCAGATAGCTACAAATAAAATCTATTATCAGAGATGTGTAATTACCAAGGTAGTTCTATAGGGCACATTAGCAGTAAACAGTTGAAGGGGTAGTAGGAAGAAAAGCAATAATAGATGAAGCAAGAAATAAAGAAATGCTTGAAGTGACAGAAACCCAGTCTTTCAAGTTAGATGTTGTAAAACAGGTCTATGAAAACAGACCACAGCCAGACTTCAAATGCGAATGTTAGATACAGATACAGGCAATCCAGGCTGTTATCTCTGCATCTCCATGCTTCAAACATTACCAAGCTATAAGCATCCTAATAATTCCATCAATCTGGTTTGATAAAAATAATAAACAGGAACTTTGGCTATGAAGAGGATGGGTTCTACATATAACTGACCTAATTTTAGAAAATCAAACATTACCGAAAAGTAGCATTTCTATTTGGATGTAGACATCTAATGAACATGCTTGTGGGTTTTTGTTGTTTTTGTTTTTTGATTTTTCAAGACAGGGCTTCTCTGTAGCTTTGGAACCTGTCCTGGCACCAGCTCTTGTAGACCGGGCTGGCCTCGAACTCACAGAGATCCACCTGCCTGTGCCTCCCGAGTGCTGGGATTAAAGGTGCATGCCACCACCACCCGGCAAATATGCTTACTAAGTGAAAAAACTGCTCCTATTAACTCAGATCTTAGTTTATATTAAATAGTTTTCTTCAAATCACCTATAACTTAGGAACTAACATGAAAGCTAAGACATAAACTTCCTAGAAAAGAGCAATTCCTAAACAGTTTTTAAATAAAGCTATACGTAATACAGCTCCCTTTACATGTATTTAGTGTGAGGGTGGGGCACAAGCATATGGAGTTCAGAGGACAACTTGTGGGAGTTGGTTCTCTTGTTACCCCGTGTGAGATCCAGAGACTGAATGCAGGTCGTCAGACTTGAGAGAAAGTGCCTCTTTACCCAGCGAGTCATCTCATCGACCTTTTATGTTTTTGTTTTGTTTTTTAAGACCTATTTTTTAATTTATGTGTATGTGTTGACATATACCACATGCACCAGAGGCCAGAGGGTATCAAATGCCTTAGAACTGCAACTGCAATCAGTTGTGAGCGAGGTGGTATGGTGCAGGGAACCAAGCCTGACCCATCTGCAAAAACAGTAAGCAATGTGAACAGCTGAGCCTTCTCTCTAACACTGTCCACACTATTAGCCATAACAGATGACACACAGAGAGGCCATTTAGTTTGTTTCTGTGGGGTCAGTGAGGTGGCTCAGGAGGTAAACGCTTCCTTCTGAGCCTTATGACTAGAGTTCCATTCCCAGGTCATGAAGGCACAGTGGAAGGAGAGAACCGACTCCCAAAAGTCGTTCACTGACCTCCATGGCACGGGCACCCCATTTCTGTCTTATAACACAGAATAAATAAATATAATTGAACCTTATTAAAAACTTGAAAATTATATAACTGAATAAATGATGCTCACCTTGGACATTCATTAAGAACCTTGGGCTCATCAGAGTGCACATTTCCTGAAGGATCCTTTTTTTCAGGCTGTGATGTAACATCTTCACACTGGAGGTTTTTAAGTGACTCATTTTCCGTTTGTTGAGGAATCTTAATAACAAAGTTTGTAGTATTTTAGATTTCACAACAAAACACAAAACTTTAAAATTTTTTACTGAAAAATCTATTGTAACCAGGTATTATGATGCATGTTCTAGGACTTGGGAGGTAAATGCAGAAGATCACTTTCCCAAACAAACCTAGCTTTTTGAGGGAATTTGAAAACAATCCAACAGCAAAATATCCCGTCTCATTTGAGTATAAATAAAATGGTAAAAAAAAAACATCAAAATTATAAAATAACAGTCAAAAAAAGCATTTTAGTGTTTTTCCTTTCACTATCTTAAAAATTCCATAAGTCGCATATTTACCACGTCTCAAAGCCCTAGTCTTTGCTGCACCATAAGAAAGCAATGTTTCAGACTCATCTACTTCAGTCTGTTTCCATCACATTTTTCAGAATTCTCCACAGTGCTTGGATTTCTAAATTCTTACTCTTTTAAGTACTCTAGAGACTGTAAAAACTATATCAACAGACAGGGCTAAGCATGTAGCTCAGGTAGTAAGAGTGCTTACCTAGCATACACAAAGCCCTTGCAAGGTTCAATCCACAGCACCACATAAAAATGGGCATGGTTGCACACGCCTACAATCTTAGCACTTGGGTGGAGGCAGGAGGATCAGAATTCCAAAGTTATTCTCAGTTACATAGTGAGTTGGAAGCCACCTGGGGCGGCATGAGACTCTATCTAAAATATAAAATTATAGCAGAAAGAACCCAAATGTTAAGTCATGCTAACTGCTTTCTTCTAAGGACTATATAAATAATCTAAAACTTCATGAGCCAGGGATATAGTTCAGAGGCAAGAGTGCTTTCTTAGCAATGAAAGAGGCCTTAGGTTCGGTCTTCTACATCTCTCTCTGTATCTTTCTGTATCACATCTCTCTCTCTCTCTCTCTCTCTCTCTCTCTCTCTCACACACACACACACACACACACACACACACACACACACTATTCATTATCTGTTTTGGGAATTATACTTGAAAGGAATACTTTCAATATTTTGTTTAAGCCAATATTAAAATTCACATATGACTATCTTTCCGAAAGAAGGCTGATTATGTGTTCAAGGGTAGAGTGCTTGCCTAGCATGCTTGAGAACCTGGGCTCAATCTGAAGCACAGGGGGAAAAACCAAGTTCAAACATGAGGTAAGATGAGAGCCACCAAGAGTCATGTACAATGCTCAAATATCTAAAATGATTTAACAATAAACAAAACACTATGAGATTTTTGTCCACAAATGCAACAAACAACACACAAAAGGTTATTTTTAAAAGGTGAGAGCTTACATTAAGGCTTATTTACTTGCTTAATAAATGTTATAAGAATCAACATACCACAACACAGGATTCACTTTGCTCTCTATCAACACAGGATTCATCTTCATTCTTCTCTACATGGGCCCCAATTTTCCCCTGTGGTGCAAGAGTCTCTTCTCTTCCTGCAGCTTTCTGTATGTTAGGCCTTGGTCTTTGCACTCGGCCCCTCAATAGACATGTAGGTCTTAAGACCTTTGGTTTACCATCTTCCTGTACACAAGACTTTTCACTCAAACTATAATCACCAAGAAATAACAATATGATTACAATAAAGTCACAAAGTTGTTTGGCTATATAAATAAGTAAGTCATGTTAAATAGGAAGCATTTTTCAAGTATCCCCAAGAACATCTAATAAGATAATCACTATACATCTACACTCTACTCTTTCAAGCAGACAATTCTGGAAGCCTAGCTATAAAATCCTCATGAACAGAACCACCTCAGCACCCTCCCAAGAGACAAATCTGCCTCTGGCAAGATGCCTTCCCCATCACTGATGATGAACTAAAATCCCCCTGGAAATTTAACTGCAAAGCAGAACTTCCTGTGACAGCTGATGGAAAAAAAGCATATGCTATCACCTCCTTCTCCGGACATTCCACATAAAACAGAAAACATATCCCCCAGTCAAATCCTGTGCATAAAATTGAAAAAACCTACAGCCAAGTACTTTTTAACGTGCTAAAATACACATGAGAAGAAACAGATGAACACCTTGAGTAAGACCCTGAGAAACAGTTTAGCAAAACATTCCTCGGTAAACAGTGCTGTTGATCTTTACAGACATAGTTATCATAGACATTGAAAGAAAGTGAATCCTCTAAAATATAGGTGATGCAGAAGAATCAAGAGGAATGTTATCTTGTGCTTCATTTCCCATTGGAATATCCATTAATGTTGCCTAAGTTATGTCTTTTTAAAAAAATTAAAATCTCACTTTAAAAATGGAAAAACCTCTATCTACCCAACATGTGATACTATTGCTTCTCTTTCAGGACATCAGTGAATATATATAATGCCAGGGAATCGGTGCCAATTTATAGAACAGCAGCATCCCATTGAAAAGCCCAGAATCTACTGCTTACAACCGTACTTGGAGCTAGCCAGTCTTATACCCATATCAAGTTAAATGTTCCTTTAGAAATCACTTCCTACAAATAGAACCATCCACAAACATATCTTCATCATTTATTTATCTGATAAGACTTCTTAGAAAATATTAGTAAATGGAAGGAAGCACAAAGCTGCTCAATAGATTCATACGCTCATTTAAAAATTTTATATCAGATGGTGGTGGTGAACACATTTAATCTCAGCACTCAAGAGGCAGATCTCTGAGTTCAAGACCAATCTGGTCTACAGAGCAAGTTCCAGGACAGCTATGCAGAGAAACACTGCCTCAAAATAAAGGAAGGCAGGCAGGCAGGCAGGCAGGCCAGCCCTAAAACTTTTACTTACTTTTTTTTGAGACGGTTCTCCTGTCCCACAGGAGAACTTCAAAATCACCTGAGCTGAGGATAATCCCTCACCTACATTTGCAGTGCTGGCATCACAAGCACATGCCACCACACCTGGTTTATGTGAGGCTCCTGAATGAACGAGGCTTCACACATAAGAATCAGACACGAACCTAAGCCTACCCGTACCATCATTTCTATCTCTAACACCAAACACACCATGTGTTAGCAAAATTTCTTGCTACTATCTATAATGAAAACAGATTTAAAGTATCCTCGTTGACAATTCAGACTTTATTAAAAAGAAAACTAACAATTGCAACCACTCCTGAAGGTCATTTCTTCCCAAGTACTTACTCAGAAACAGTTTCAGCACCTAGGTTTTCTCTTTCTGTTGTCTCTGTCCCAAAATTTTCAGGTACATTCAATCTCTCTTTTTCCACATGATTCTATAAATATAATTTTTTACACTAAAGTTACTTACAATAAAATGTTTCGCTGAATGAGAATTAAAACTAAAAATTCTAAATACAGAGCAGATCAAAGTATTATAAAACACACAATCATACAATCTTTTTTGTTTGTTTATTAGCTTGTTTTTTTTCAAGACAGGGTTTCTCTGTGTAACTTTGGAGCCTGTCCTAAAACTCACTCTGTAGACCAGGCTGGCCTTAAACTCAGATCCTCCTCTCTATGCTTTCTGTGTGCTGGGATTGCAGGTGTTCACTTCCACCGCTCGACTAAAACGCACAATCTTATACATGGTTAGAAGGACCTTGCCAATATGAATAGTCTTTAAAATGTCCATATTCTCTGACTAATTTAATTGTAAACCGTATTTTAAGGAAGTAACTGAAGAGTTAGGTATGGTAGCTTATGCCTTTAACCCCAACACATGGAAGGGAGAGGTAGGCAGATCTCTATGGGTTGAGGCCAGCTGGGAGTTTCAGGAAAACCAAAGCACACTAAGACCTTGTCTCCAAAAACAAAGAAAAAGAATTGAGGGGGGTACAAAGGAAAGGAAAAGATGCTTGCCACCAATTCTTACAGCATAATTTTAATCTCTAAGACCCACATAATGGAAAAAGAAAACCACTCCTTGGCAAGTTATCCTCTGATTCCATCCCCACTGCACCTCCACACATTATGTAATTATTTTAAAATTTAACAAAAGTAATTGAAAAACATGTAAGCACTAAAATGTTCACCACAATACTATGTAAAATGGCCTACTTTGCTAACATAAGTTTTCCAAAAATAAAGCAATATTTAAATAAATGCAGTTATACTATATTGCTCAAGTATTATTTTAAAATGTTTTCTAAACGTGTTTAAATGACACTGAAAAATTACCAAAGGATAAAAAAATGAATAAAACCTGAAAGGTAGAGAATGTGGTTCACTGGGGAATTCCTCGCCTCACAGTCTATAGCTTTTGCCCTGGCTGTTATCCTGACAGCAAGGGAAGGAAAACAAATTTGGAGAGAAAAATGTGAAAAGACTGACTGCATATAGATAATAAAATTATAATTTTTGTTTTGATTCTTAAACTAATCTGTATTTCCAAAATTTCGACATGAAATCTGGGCTAGCGTGATGGCTCAGTGGTCAAGGAACTTGCACCAAACCTAATGATCTGAGTTTAATCTCCCAAAACAGCACGAAGTAGAGAAAATCAAGTCTGCAAGTTGTTCTCTGACTTCCGTGTGTGTGTTGTGGCATGTGCATGCCACCCTTCTCCACAAATAGTTAACTAGACATTGTTTTGAAAAGCTTCAATTGTACTAGATTATGATTCAACAATAAAAGGGTTTATAGCACTGGAGACATAGTTTAGTGAGAAGGCATCTGCCCTTCACATGCAAAGCCTCGGGCTTTTGTCACAGATGCCAAAGAAAGCATCTAATAACAAAGGGACTTCCCCAGAGGCAGGAGGAAGGGCACTTACCAGCACTTGAGACTCTGAGTCCTGTATGCAACAGTTCAAATAAGTGAATGGGGGAGGAAACCTAAAGAGTAGCTTAAAAGTGATTGAGGACACACTTAAAACAATTTTAAGGCTGCAACTCCCAGAAATATAAATAAATAGAATCTATGTTTGAAAGATGTATTTTATTATTTATCTATGTCTACTTGTGCGCCTATGTATGAGTGTGTGCAGGTGCCTAGGGAAGCCAGAAAAAGAAGTCAGACGCCCTTGGAGCTGTGATCACAGAAGGCTGTGAGTTATCTGATATGAGGACTAGAAAAGGAATTCAGGTCCAATCAAAGAGCAGCATTGACCTCTTAACTGCTGAGCCATCTACTGGCCTAGGGTCATTTAGTCAATGCAAATCATAACATAGAGACTTTCTTTAGGCAAGGCATACTAACAATTATAAAAATATTTTGAATATTTTGAAAAACAATCACAACACTAACAGAAAAATTTTTTCCATTAAAAAGCCCTATTTGTCACGCACAGTGGCACATCCCCTTTAATTCCAACACCAGGAGGCAGAGGCAGGTGGATCTTTGCAAGTTCCAGGCCAGCCTGGTCTACATAAAGATTTACAGGCCAACCAGGACTACACAGTGAGCTGACTTGAAAACAACAAAATACTATTTATAAAATTACTTTATTAATCTAAAAAACAAACCAAATAACCCTGGGGCCAGAAAGATGACTCAGTAAGAAGGGTGCTTCTGGGGCTGGAGAGACGGCTCAGCGGTTAAGAGCAATGACGGCTCTTCAAAGGACCTGAGTTCAGTTCCCAGCACCCACATGCCAACTCAAACTGTAACTCCAGTTCCAGAGGATCTGACATCCTCACACAGGCATATATACAGACAAAACACCAATGCACATAAAATAAATAAATAAATTGTAAAAAAAAAAAAAGAAGGGCATTTATAATCCCAGTGCTGGGAAGGTGAAACCTAACAGAAGCCTAGAATTCATCATCCAGTCATTCTAGCTTAACTGGAAAGCCTCAGACTGAAAAGAAACCTTAGCTGAAGAAGCAAAGTAGAAGGCTACTGAGAACCAACACTAAAACTGACCTTTGACCTCTACATACATGCACATATATGTACCCACAGACATGCATGCAACACAAACATGAAATCAAACATACAAGAAATATTTTGAATAAACGTTTTGTACAATTTAAAAAATGAACTGGGGATGTCAGTGAGTGGTAGAATGCTTATTTGCCTAGCATGACCAAGGTCTACGTTCATTCCTAATTGCATGCGCGTGCACACATCAAATTTATGATTGAAATTTTTTTCAATTGTTATAGCCCACTTGCTAATAAACACAAATCTAATTTTAAGTTATTGTGTTTTCCTATCAGTAACAAGAGTCTGAAATTACAAGCTAAATATTTTATTTGTAATTACTTAGAAAACATTTATAGCTTCTATTTCCATGCATTCTCTTGGGCCACACCTTTTCAGCTGAAGCTTCTGAAGGTGAGACTTTGCTCCTTTCATCTTGTTTATCTTGAGAAACAACTGACTTCTTCCCAACTGCCCTGGACAGATTAGGTTTAGGTCTCTGAAGTCGACTTCTGGATTTTGGTTTAACATTTTCTGCTGGTTCAGTCTCTCTTAAAAAAAAAAAAAAAAAAGAAAGAAAATGGATGTTATCTGAATTGCAACCAACATGTAGTCACAATCAAATAAAATTCTAAAAAACTGGAAAATTCAAAGAGCTCCTTTAAAGCCCTGACGGTGAGAGACTTACTCTATTAGATGTTAAAAACATATCAACATCAGTAATTAAGATGTAAAGTGGTACCAAAAGACATATGAACATGTAAATGAAACACAATAGAAAATAATTCCAAAGCAGATCTGATTTTAGAACATACTAAAGATCGTCTCCTAAAATAGAAAAGTTGAAATGTGTAACACAGAATACTTAAAAAATAAATGTTATGCTATGTTTGAGGGTGCACACCTTTAAACCCAGCACTAAAGAGGAAGAGGCAGGTGGATCTCTCTAAGTTGAAGTCAGCCTAAAATACACAGCAAGTGCCAAGACAGCTAAGACTACATAGCAAGACCCTGTTTGAAAAAAAAGCAAAAAAATTAAACATTACACAAACCAACTTCTAATGGGAAAGCTGATTAACAAAACAGAGCGAGTTCCATCCATTGCACTATGCTGACAATATACTCCAAGTGGATCAGACATTTAAATGAAGGCAGAAAGAACAAAAGAAAGTTAACTTCTTAAACTTTAATTTAGATTGAGTAAATCTAAGATTTCATAAAAAGCAGGAAAAAATTAGAAATCAGATAACATAAAAATAAAAACCTGGGGGCTAAAGAGATGGTTCAGTAGATTAAGGAACTTGTCATCAAGAGTCTGACCCCTGGAGGAGAGCACCATCTCCTCAAGTTGTCCTCTGACCTTTACATGTGTTCCATGGTGTGCGTGTGCACGCACACACACATATTCTTTAAGCAAACACTTCCATTTTTAAACCTTCAATGAAAAACATACTTGCAAACTGGCATAAAAGTGAAAGCATGAGATTGTTAAGTATTTGTAAAAACAACCTATAAGGCCCTGCGTGGAGAACAAACCACACAAAGTAGAAAACATTCAAATGATGAAACACAATAAAGCTATAAAAATAAAGGATATATTTTATATAAAAGTATGAGTATGTTACGGTTAGGTTTGTTTCAGCATACACTTAAAGTCCATGAAAGAACACTACTCATTCTTTAGAAGGAAGACAGGGTGGAGGAGACTTTGCTTCTTAATGTTTAACCAAATAAATAGAGTTTACTCCAAAAATTAATTTTGATTCTCAATGTGGTGTGCTCCATTAAAAATCAGCTTCACAAGTTGAACAGATTTTGTTCCTTTTTCTTCTTTTCGTTTGCACGTGATGTACATGTGTGCTCGTGTTCATGTGTGGATGTGGGTGGCTGTGTAGGCCTGTAATGGCTGTTCTTGGTTATGAACTTGACTACATCTGGAACTAACTAAAATCCAAAGGACTGAGCACATTTGTGAGGGATTTTTTCTTAATTAAATAATTTGAAGGGGGTAGACCCATTTCTAATCTGAGTCTTTGAGGTAGGGAGACACACCTTTAATCCAGATCTTTAGAGATGGGAGGAGCCACCTTTAACATGGGTCACACCTTTTTACAACAGCCCATATAAAGGACATGGAAGAAGGCAGCGCTTTGTTCTTTGCCTGCTTGCTCTCACTGGCAAGTTCATTCTTTCACTGACTTTGGAGACTACTTCTGCAGGATTCCAGCACATAGTGAAGACCAGCTGAGACATCCATCTTCATAGACTGAACAACTACTGAATTCTAGGATCTTCCGTTGGTAGACACCCATTGTTGTACTAGCTGGATCACAGTCTGTAAGCCAATCAAATAAATTCCCCTTCTATGTATATCAGTATCTCTGTGTGTGTGTATGCATGTGTTTGTATGTACATGTGTGTACACATGCATACATATGGTGTAGGAGGTTCTTCTGTTCATATGTTGCTTTCATTGGTTAATGAATAAAGAAATTGCTTTGGGCTTGATAGGGCAAAACTTAGGTAGGAGGAGAAAGACAGAACTGAATGCTGGGAAGAAGGGCAGAGTGAGAGACACCCTGGATCTTCTGCCTGAGACTGACACCTGTTAGAATCTTGCCAGTAAGCCACAGTCACGTGGCGATACATAGATAATAGAAATGGGTTAAATTAAGATGTAAGAGTTAGACAATAAGAAACTAGAGCTAATGGGCCCGACAGTGTTTTAATTAATACAGTTTCTGTGTGGTTATTTCGGGTGTGAGCTAGCTGGGTGGCTGCGACAAACAAATGGCCCACTCCCACCAACATACATACATATTCATTTTATAGGTACTATTCCTCTACAGAACCCCAACTATTACAAGACTCAAGACTGACCTTGGGAGTCTTCCTCAATCACTCATTCCCCTTATTCTTTGAGGTAAGATCTCTCAATCAAACCCAGTGCTTGCTAATTATATGTAGGCTGTCAGGCCCACCCAGTATTTCCATTCTATAATGAAACAGAATCCCAAGAGAAAAAAACAGAAAGTGAAATCTTTTGATGACATGTGATTGAGAGACTGCAATAAAATCACCTGTTAAGTGATTGACACACTAAGAGTCCCTTCTACTCCCTAAATGTTATTTAAGATCTTTATCAAGAGGGTGGAGAAATGCCTCACCAGTTAAGAGCTCCTGGATTTGGTTCCCAGCACCACATAGGATGGCTCACAACTGCCTCTAACTCCAGCTCCAAGAGGATTTGGCGCACGCACAAATGCATAAATCCACATACATATATGCATATGTCTGTCTGTCTGTCTGTCTGTCTATCTACCTACTATCTATATGTCTAATTTAAAATAATAAATATCTATCTTTAAAAACAAAGTTTATCAGAGACTGGAGATACAACTCAATCTTTCAGTCTTAGAAGATATGCCCATTCCATGTAATGTCCTGGGTTTAATCCCAAAATCAAAAAAGAAAATGTTTAATATTTTTGAACATGCCTAAGAAGAAACCCAACTGTATAAAGTACTTACAGTGGTCTATTCTCTAAGTCAACGCTTCTTTCTTCTGTTCCAGCATCATTTACCTCACAGGAGGCAGCACCCGCAACTTCTGAGAAAGGCAAATCTGCAGCTCTTGACTCTGAGGACTCACTTGCTAGCGGCATGGTATCTTGCTGATTACTAAGGAAGGGAAAATGTAACAGGAGGAACATACTACTAGAAATAAATTTTCATACCACTAAAGGACACAGTGTGTGTGCACGCACGCTGATATGGTGTGAAATCTCTTGCCATCATTCTTGTGTTTTTGAACCTGGGTTTTTTATTGACCTAAGGCTCACCAATTAGCCTAGGAAGGCTGGTGAGCAAGCCCAAGAATCTCATCTCTTCCTCCTACATACTGGGATTATCAGTGTGTAATATTACACCTGGCTTTTGATGCGGGTGCTGGGAATTAAACGTTAACATCATGGCGGTCCATGATGTAATCCCAGCACCTGGGAGGCTATGACGGGAGGACTTGTTTGTGTGTGTACTTATTGGTTTTGGAGGCAGAAACTACTAGTAGAACCTGCTAGGTATCAAGCTAGCCTTGAACTTATGATATTCAGCCTCCTCAATACTGGGACTTTATGAATGCACCAGCACACCAAGCTTGAAGATAATACACAACAATTTACAAAATGAAAATGGTTAACCAAGAAGCTATAGAAATAGCTCTGCAGGGGCTGGAGAGATGGCTCAGAGACTCTGAGCACTGACTGCTCTTCCGGAGGTCCTGAGTTCAATTCCCAGCAACCACATGGTGGCTCAGAACCATCTGTAATGAGATCTGGTGCCCTCTTCTGGCCTGCAGGGACACATGGAGGCTGAACACTGTGTACATAATAAATAAATAAATCTTAAAAAAAAAAAAAAAAGAAATAGCTCTGCAGTTAAGAGCACACACTGCTCCTTGACAGGACTTATGCTCAGTTCTTAGTACCTATACCAGGTAGTCACAATCACCTATAATTCCAGTTCCAGGGGAATTCAATGCCTCTGTGGGCACCTACACTCATGTGTACATATCCACACAGAAATACACATGCAAACATAATTAATAATAAAATCTCTTTAAAAAGCTAATAAAAATACAACAATCTGAGTCATATTCAAGTTTAACAAAAAGGTTCAAAAATAAATAAATAAAGCAAAACAAACAGAAGAAGTTCAAATCCACAACGACAACTGGAGAATCAATAGAAGATGCAGATAAAGCCAGTAAAGAGGACACACCATGTAGAAGGGCTGGAGTCCGTTTTCAGCTGCACCTTTTCATTGGAGGGTGAGAATGACTCTGCAATGTCATCTGTGTGCTGTGGGAAAGAAGGTGTCTGTTCCTCACTACATTTGCCTTCATTTTCCTCAGGACTTGTGTCTAGGAATATAAAACACATGTTATTCCAAAAAGTAGTAAAGATACCAATATTTTAAAGCATAAGGAATTTATATGCAACATTTGTCTTTTCCTACAAAATACTAATCCACTTATCATTCAAGATTTAGGGTTTTTTCCTTGAACATTGTGTTTTGCTGTTTAAGCCTCCACCTTTAATAGCTAAGCCATCTCTCTAGCACTTATACTCTTTAAATTTTATTACAATTAATATTATCATTTGTTGCATGTGTATGTGTGTGCAGGGTGCCCACGCGTTTCGCCACACACATACGGAGTTCAGAAGACAACTCCGTGCAGCTAGTGCTCTCCTCTCACCTTTGAGGGTTTGCGGGATTGGATCCAAGTTGTCAGGATTGCAGGCAAGTGCTGAGTCATCTCAGGCACACAAAAAGACGCAAAATAAATATGTGTAATAAAAGGCACTAATATTTACCCTATGATAAGGAACCACCTTAATTCCAACATCTTAAATAACTCATCAATATTTTAGATGGTAAAAGACTAGAACTATTAAGCTATTCTTCTTTACATGTAACATATGTCTTTTTCTTATGGTTGAGACAGGGACTAATGTAACAGACTAGCATCAAACTCACTAGGTAGCCAAGGATAATCTTGAACTTCTGAATCTACTTATCTACCTACTCTACCACCTAAGATTAGAGGCACTGCCCAGTTTACCCAGTTTTCTTTTATTATATAATCCTTTTTTAAAAAAAATAATTTCCGGGCTGGAGAGCTGGCTCAGAGGTTAAGAGCACTGATTATTCTTCCGGAGGTCCTGAGTTCAATTCCCAGCAACCACATGGTGGCTCACAACCATCTGTAATGAGATCTGGTGCCCTCTTCTGGCCTGCAGGCAAACATGGAGGCTGAACACTGTGTACATAATAATAAATAAACCTTTAAAAAATAAAATAAAAAAAATAATAATTTCCATTTTTTTATTCATTTACTCGGTGTGTGTGTGTGTGTGTGTGTGTGTGTGTGTGTGTGTGTTACCACAGTGCCCATGTGGACATCAGAAAGCAACTAACAGAAGTTGGTTTTCTTCTTTGTGGATCCCTGGGATCAAACTTAAGTACCTTTACCCACTGAGCCATCTCACAAGCCTCTACATGTAATATTTCTTGTAATGGTAAACAAGAGTATAATATTCTAATGCTTATAAATCAGACAACTGTGGGCTTGGCATGATGGCACACACCTTTAATCCCAGCATTTGGGAGGCAGGGGCAAGCAGATTTCTGAGTTCGAGGCCAGTCTGGTCTATAGAGTGAGTTCCAGGACAGCCATGGCTACATAGAGAAACTGTCTCAGACAACAACAACAAAAACCAGACAGCTATAAGCAGGACATAAGAGCAAATACACACAATCTCTGCTCTTAGAGTGGCGAAGCAAGAGTTCAAGATCATCCTTGACTTCAAAGCAAGTTCTAGTCCAGCCTGGGCTATACTAGACCCTGTCTCAAAAGAAAAGAAAAAAAAGAAAAAAGAAAACTCTCATTACCTCAACTACCAGAACTGATCTATTAAACTATTATGACTTCCTCTCTATTAGTTAGCTCTCATTGAGCTTACGGTGTTACATAAGCTACTGAAGGAGAAAGTCATTAACTGTCTTACCACTTATGAACCCTGCAAGCAACTGCAACTCAACTGACAAGAGATGTCCATTGGGGCAACAGTGGCACAAATGTTAGAAATAACAACTGCTTCTTGATTAGGTTTCTAGCCAGATCCACAGGAGGAACCTCTGCTTGAGCAAGAAAGCCCGGTCCAGAAACCATGACATCCTAAGCCACAAGGAATAACTTACTGCTTTGCTAAATGGGCACAGTATTAACTGCCTTCTAAACAGTTGTCCTCACAGCTAAGGAGCTTTTTTTTTGTAGTTAACATAGTCATTGTAAAGACTCAGAAATAGTCAAAATGCAGAAAGTGACTGCTGAATGTTCGGTCTCAAACGAACAATTAAACCAACCAGCCACCCCAACCAGTGAACTTGGGAAACAACACAGGTGTCATAGAAAGTCTGTAAGAACCAGAGGAGAACTTCTGAAAATCAGTCTTTTGGATGTGACAGGAGTACTTCACTTATACTCATAACAAATATATCTACAAATAGAAGATCAAGCCAGTCAACAGTCCAGCATGGGTGAGGGAAGGACACAAGATCCTATCCTCAGCTGAGGTGCTCCTGGCAGGTGATGGCTACTGGGAAAGGGATAGTTGGCTTTGTAAGGGGTGTGGCCTCTGGTTAGGTTAGGTGTGGATGACCCCACTCCCGTGTACACATGAGCAACACTGATGGGACTCAGTAGGTTGTTTTGTTTGGTTCTTTAAAGAGCATAAACCTGGAAGATACATTGGGGAGGGTCTGGAAGGGGACTAAAGAAGCAGGCAGAAGGGGGTTGGAGAGATGGCTCAGTAGTTGAGAGCACTGGCTGCTCTTCCAGAGGTCCTGAGTTCAATTCCCAGCAACCATGTGGTGGCTCACAGCTCTCTGTAATGAGATCGGGCACCCTCTTCTGGCATGCGGGCATACATAGAGGCAGAATGTTGTGCACATAATAAATAAATAAATCTTAAAAAAAAAAAAGAAGCAGGAAGAAGGGGTTCCTAAGTAGTAAAGCCAGGAACTTGCACATGCTAGCACATGTTCTACTACTGAGCAGTACCTCCAAACTTACTATTTCACGTTAAGTATTCTTAAAGCAAACTCTTAAGAAGGACCCAGTTTCCTCTTAAGTTTTGGTTTTTGTCTTCCAGCAACACTTAAATTACAGTATGCTTGCATTCTAAAAATACAAGAAAAAAAAGAAATGGAAATTCTACTAGGTCTTTTTATAGACTCACAGAGGTATTCCATGAAGGCAGACCATAAAAATCTGAGATTCGTTACAGATATGTGATCACCAATGACTGTTAATGGGAACACAAGGGAAATAATTCAACTTCTGAACAATCTGGAGAAAATTCTCCCTGCTTCACTTTTTTCGTTTTGCTTTCTACAGCTGTTTTTTTTTTCTCTTTAACTAACATTAAGATGGCAAGCTGTAACAGAGTACTGGCAGACGAGCACTAACAAACATTAGTAAGTGCTGTCATCCACAACGGCAGCATCTGTCATACACATTACTGTACACGTCCCTTCTAGTAAAACTGAGGTTCTTAGAATGTGTTTGAAACTTACTCTTGTGTATTTCTGCTTCAGGAGAGTTCGAGTGAACGAGGGCACTTCCTACAAGATTTGCTGCTTCCTGTTCATTAGCTTCATTTTGCTTCTTCCTCCTCCTCTTCTCTTGATTTTGGTCTTGCTCTAACATGGTTTGTTCTAAATCCTGTTCTGACAAAGTTGGTGGTTTCTCTTCAGCAACTGTCTGAGTATCCTTCTGAGATATTTCTGGATCTGAACCATTACTATTTACAGATTCATCTGGATCATCATTCACTTCCTCACTAGTTACCTTTTTTGCTAAAAACAAGAGAAATTGTTATAATTACATGAAATATGCATAGAAAACTTATTGAAAGGGAAGATGATAAATACTCAAAAGTATATTCTGTCTGTCATGTTATTTTTGTGCAAAAACTGAAGAAAGACTAAAAGAAGAAAGGAATAGATCAGCTCTAACGTTCGCACTATAAGTTCATGCAGGTACAGGCTAGGGTATGGCGCAGTAGTAAAGCACATCCTACTTAGCATATGTGGGTTCAATGCCCAGCACTGCCGCCCCCAACCAAAAAAAAAAAAGATACATACATGTCAATTACCAATAAAAGTAAGTTTATATGCAGAAATGTGATGGGATTCAAAGTATATTGCTATATAAAAACTTCAAGTGGCAGAAATATTTATGTATTTGTGAACTTACATTTTCATTTTAAAAAATTACATACACACCATTATTTGCTAGGAAAGGGCTTGGTGATAGTTATTCCTAAGAATGCTGAAGAATTTGCTTTGAACATCAGGTAAAACAAACAATTCTAGAATTGTAACTACTGTATCCTTTAGGGTTAAGACAAGGTCTGATGCATTCCAGGTTGCTTCCAACTATACTATATAACTGAAAGTAGGCATGAACTTGTGTCCCCTGTCTGAACCAAGGATCTTTTTCATCATTTTTGTGGTACTGGGGATCAAATCCAGGCAGTCTTCTGCATTCCTGGCAAGTACTAAACTACATCCTCAGACTGAAACATTGTTTTTCCTTTTAAATATATGTGTGCACACACAGTATGTGGGTATCTGAAGAGTCTACAAGATGGCACCAAATGCCATAGAGTTGCAGTCAAATGCAATTGTAAGTCACACCAATTCAAGTGCTGGGAACCAAACACCAGCCCAATTTAAAAGCAACAAAGCATTCTTAACCTCCGCATCATCTCTCCAGCTCCTATCAGGCCTCTCAAAAAAGCACAAATTAATGCACACACACACTATACAGGTAACACACAAACAGAAATAAATCAATAAAATAAAAGGGAGCTGTTATTTGCCCCAGATAACTGGCAAAGCGATGACTAATACTTCCCTCCAACTATTTACTATGATGGTGTCAACTACCTGAATAACATCTCAATTCATAGTGGCAATACTGTAAATTCACCACTAGATGAAACTCCAGACAATACCTTTCATGTTTTTCCGTGGTTTGGAGGACTTTTCCTTTGAACTCTGACATTTAGTAAATTTTTTCCTTTTTTCTTCTTCAGCAAGAACTTTCTGAAGCAAATGAGCAAAAAAATCGAAGTCAAAGGGGCGTTTTTCCTCTGTTTAAAGAAAGGGGGAAAGTTTAGAGTTTTTATTTAAAAAAAAAAGAGCTCTCTAGTTTTCAAAGTAGGACAATATCCAAAGCAAACGGACTTATTTATTAGACAAAGGATGGATAAACAAATATATGGCACTGTTAAGTAATACAACAAAAAAGTAACTTAACAAGTATGGGCTAAGTGTGTAAGAGCTTGGTGACGTAGCACTTATAGAATACACAAGACCTTGGATTCAAGCCCCAATCCAAAAGAATAAATTAAATTAAAATATTAGGTTGGTGCAAAAGGAACTGCTGTTTTAGACCATGAGTTTTATGTCATTATAAATAGGTTCAAATATATCTTTCTTACCAAAATAGAAACCGTTCCAATCAATATATTTTTGCCAATTAAAAGTAAGGCGTTTTGTTTTAGTCACTGTAGTGTAAAGTCCATGCCTGGGATTCAATGAACTCTTGGAAAGTACTTTCTGCCTCTTTCTGGTGTAAAACATTTTACTTGTGAAAAACTGTTGAAATGCTTGGAGAAGTCACAGTCAACTGGAAGGGGTCAGGTGAACATAGCAGATAAAGCAAAACTTTGTGACCTAAGCCAGGTGTGGTGGCACACATCTTTGATTTCAAAGGCAGGCATCTCTGTGAGTTCAAGGCCAGCCTGGTCTACATTAAGCTCTACATCAGTCAGGGTTTACAGTGAGACCCTGACTCAAAACCACAACTATGTAACCTAATTTGTTCAAGTTTCAATTTGTGAACTATTAGTTGTGTGATATAAGGTTGCACATTGTGGAAAATCGGGCCCTTTCTTTTGACCAATGTTGGCTTCTCAGGTGTAATAGTTTCATCAGATTTCAGAAAGCAATGGCTCAGACTGTTAAGAGACCACCAGTCAGTAACCCCATCCCTTTTTGTGGGCAGTTCAAATGGTTTTGAGAAGTGCTTTAAAGTTTCTTCTCAGCACAACCACTGCTGGGCACTGCCGTCTTACACTATCCACTTTTCATTGCACATCACAACCCAATAAAGAAACGAGACAACATTGTGTGTAGAATCAGGACGATAGTTCAAAATGACTTTTTATTCGAGCTTTTTCATGTTTTGAATTTACTTCCAATGCAAAATGACCACTGAATGATCCACACTGAGTTCTACAGCAACCTTTGAGTTATAAAAGGAGCAGATTCAACAACTGCTCAGTTTGCTATACTCCACAGCTTCAAGGCTCCCCCTCTTCTTTGCAAACCTTGAACCATTATTGTAACAGTACATTTAACAGTTCCTGGACCAAATGCATTGTTATTGTTGCAAACTTTCTCCATATATATGACCCATTTTGAACTCAAATAAGAAAATACTTGAGAGGCAAAAGAGCTGGTTCAGCAGTTAAGAGTACTGGCTACTTGTGCTGGCTAGTTTTACATGAACTTGACACAAGCTAGAGTCATCCAAAAGGAGGGAGACACAACTAAGAAAATGCCTCCATAAGATCAGGCTGTAGGCAAGCCTATATTCTTAATTAATGACTGATGTGAGAGGGCCCAGTTCATGGTGAGGAGTGCTTTCCTTGGGCTGGTGGTCCTGGGTTCTATAAGAAAGCACGCTGAGCAAGTCATGAAGAACAAGCCAGTAAGCAACTCTCCTCCATGCCTTCTGCATCAGCTCCTGCCTCCAGAGTTCCTGTTCTGACTTCCTGCTATGATGAACAGTGATGTGGAGCAATAAGCCAAATAAACCCTTTCCTCCCAAGTAGTTTTCATCAAGGTGTTTCATCACAGCAATAGTAACCCTAAGATACTGTTCTTCGAGGGTTCAATTCCAAGTACCCACAGGATAGTTCGCAACCATGTGCAATTCCAATTCCAAGGAATCCGACACCCACTTCTGTCCTCTGTAGGTACTGCACCCATGGGCTGCACAGATGTGCATTCAGACAATTAAAAAAATCTAAAAAAATGTGTAAAAGACTATCTGGAATTTGCTTTTTGTCTATGATTTCCATAATATAAATAGGTAATAAGTCAGTAGTACAAGATCCTAAGCTGAGAAGTGTGCATTATTAATGCATAATAACTATATTTAAGAATGTAAGCATATAAAATAATTTTAACAATGCAAGAACCAAAATTACTTTTGTACCAACCTAATAAAAGGATTACACTATACAAGCAACAAAATGGGTGAATCTCAAAAATAAAAGTAAAAGAAGCCAACACAAAGCAATATTGTACATATAACTTAGGATGCTGGTTAATAGGGTATATTCTTTGTTAAAATTTCAAATTACACTTTGAACTACTATATCAAATATTTTAAATGGCAAAGGACAGAAGATAATTCAGTTGTAGAGAACATGATTAGCTGGTACAAGAGCCTGGGTTTAGCCGGACAGTGGTGGCACACGTCTTTAAACCCAGCACTTGGGAGGCAGAGACAGGCAAATCTCTATGAGTTCGAGGCCATCCTAGTCTATAAGAGCTAGTTCCAGGACAGGCACCAAAGCTACAGAGAAACCCTGCCTCGAAAAACCCAAAATCAAAACCTGGGTTTAATTTTCAGCCCCAAAACATACATGAAGATAACTAAGATATTCCAGAGCCTAAGATTACAACACGCCCTCTTTCCACTACCACCACTTCACTATGTATTCTTCCAAGCATCAGTAAAATAAAACAGTCCAATGAAGTCAGAAATACTTCCATTGTCAACTGTATAATAGAGAAAGAACAATCAGTAAAAAAACAAGGAATGAATCTACAAAGGAATGCTTCCTTAAACTTTATATCTAAACTCTGGTGATGTACAGAAAGATCACAAAAATGATTCCGTAAAAGGCACACACTAAAATACTGTTTTAATTTAACTAAAATAATTTGTTCTAATTCTCCACAACAAAGAAACAGCACCCCAGGAATCCAGAAAGAATCTTTAGGTAGTTCTAGAGGACTTAAAATATAGGCCCCTTCCCAAACAAAAACAAACAATCCACAAAGGGAGTGGAAGAGGTGGCTCAGAGGATGCAGGGTCAGTCCTCAGCACAGCACCACACAGTGAGTCACAAACATCCAGAACTCCGGTGCTGAATGATCAAGTGCCCTCTCTGACCTCCAGAGACACCACATACACATGTGGTCAACACACATGTGTGCATACATTCATACACATAAAATAAATCTTAAAAATCCCACAGGAGTTTTTCTTTAATTTTTAATTTCCTATTTCAAAGGATAAAAATAATTAAAACTATAGAATCTATAAATTATTTTCTAATAATATATTGAGCCCAGTGGAAAGTTTCTCCAAATTTTAAATGGAAGTTTCTCTATTCACAATACTCCAGATCTTACAGGAGCCATTCCTGGAAACGCTTTCAACTGAAGACAAAACACTGGGTTATCAGTCCCACTCGTCGACCATGGGTGTCTACTCATGAATTCACGAGCTACACAGTGGATATTCTCTAAATCACATATGAATTACTTTCCCCTAACATCAGCCTTATGGCTAACTTTAATTAAATTTTATTTTGAGCAGGACATGGTGGTGTACACCTTTAATACCAGAACTCAGGAGGCAGAGGCAGATAAATCTCTGTGAATTTGAAGCCAGGAGTCTAGCCTACATACTGAGTTCTAGGCAATCCATGCCTATACAGAGATGGGGTGGAGGTAGGAGCTGTGTTTTGAAGCTGAAGAAATGGTTTGCCAGTTAAGAGTACTTGCTGCCCTTGGAAAGGAATAGGTTGAGTTCCCAGAAACCACATGGCGGCTCACAACCACCTGCTAACGTCAGTTCCAAGGAATCCAACACCTTCTTCTATCCTCTGTGGACACCAAGCACACACATGGCACACATACATACATACATACATACACACATACATGCAAGCACTCAACGCATACACACAAAATAAAAAAATCTCTTTAAAAAAAAATTGGGTAGGCACAGTGATGTATACCTTTAATTCCAGAACTTGAGGGGCAGAAGCAGGTGGATCTCTGTGGGTTTGAGTCTAGTCTGGTCTATGCAGAGTTTTCCTGGACAGCCAAGGCTAACCAGTCGGGCCCTGTCTCCTTTTACTTTCTTTTTTTTTTTTAATTGTTTTTTTCACTACATATTTTTTTCTGCTTCCCTCTTTTTTAAATTTTATTTAGAAGTAATTAAGTTTGTCAACACAGGTAATTTCATAGCTAAATTAACACTGACACATTAACTATAAAATGCTGATATTTGCTCATGAAAAGTATGTATCTTCTAAAACAAAAAATTACTTTAAACATAAACTTGGTTTTATTTACAGATCTCTTGTACTCTTTCTGTAGACTTACAAAAAGAAAAATGATAATTTTAATGAAGGTATTAGAAACTGGCTGGTTCCTACTCTCTTCAAAATCAAATCTAAATTTAAATGCTACCCATTCATAAACTTCATTGAGGATCAATAAGCATCGAGACCCAATTCCTTTTTCTTCCAAGAACTCAATCAGTACTTGAAACTTGCATAACAATATCCCACACCTATTTAAATTCGGGCTCTCCAATCAGATTTCTCATCTGCCTTATTTGACAACACATCTTCCAGAGCAACCAGAACACAGCAGGTAGTCAATGCTGTTGACTCAATGACTGGCTGACAACAAACGGAATCCACTACTGCAATATATTTTCCATGAACTATTTCTTGAACGTAATTCCTTCCCAATAAAAAACCACTCAGGGGCCAGTGAAAGGGCTCAGTTTATAAAAGCACTTACTGCCAAGCCTGACACCCTAAGTGTAGTGCAGAACCACATGATGGAAGGAAAAGACCAACTCCTATACCTTGTCCTCTGATACATGTTTGTGCACATCCATGCACATATAGGTACAGAACAGAAATTTGAAAAAGCCAATTTTTATTATCAATTACTGTATAAATTCATGGACTTAAAACTCTGTTTACTGCCAGGAAATGGTAGCACCCGCCTTTAATCCCAGTACTCAGGAGGCAGAGGCAGGTGGATCTCCATGATTTTGAAGCTCCCTGGTCAACAAAGGGAGCTCCAGGACAGCCAGAGCTACACAGAGAAACCCTGTCTCAAAAAACAAACAAACAAACAAACAAACAAACAAACAAACAAAGAACAACTGAGGCATAACAGTGCATACCTGTAACTCCAGCACTTGGAGGCTGAGGCAAAAGGACTAAAAGTTCTAGACTAAGTAGGGCAGTGGTGGCACATGTCTTTAATCCCAGCACTTGGGAGGAGGCAGAGACAGGTGGATCTCAGTGAATTTGAGGCCAGCCTAGGCTACAAAGTGAGCTCTAGGACAACCAGGACGCAGAGAAACCCTGTCTCAAAAAACAAAAACAAAACATAATAAAAATTCCAGACTAGCCTGGAATATATACAAGACCTTATCTTAAAAAAACAAAAAATGAAAAGGTTTCATCCTTAGTCTTATGCCAATACAAGGACAAATCTAAAACACTAGAGCCAAAGACAAAGAATTGATCATTATCAACCTCTACAAATAATACTCTGTGAAGGAATTCTTTAATACTTACGAAAGGCTTTGTCTATTCTCCATCCATTTGTTTTTTCTTCACGTTTAAATTTATTCTGTTAACAACAAAAAGATCTATAGTAATATTCTGTCATTAAACAAGGATTATTTCTAATTAGTGAGCAATAATATGAAATTCTACAAAGCACACTATTTTGTATTAGATGGTACATTTTTGCCAATAGGCTAAGTTACTTTAGTTTCTTAAAAAAGCAAATAGAGAGCTACAAAGATGGCCCAAAGGGAAAGAGCACTGGCTGCCCTTCCAAGGACATGGGCTCAATATCTAGCAGCCACATGGAGGTTCATGACATCTCTAACTCCAGTTCAAAGAATTAATAATGCCTTCTTCTTGCCTCCTCAAATATTGTACATATGTGGTGTGTGGGCAGACATGGACGGACGGATGGACACACAGACATAGACACACACACACACACTCCAAATAAATTTTTTTGTAATGGGGATGAAAGATTCACACAAATTTTCCTCATCCTATTTTTATTATCAATAGCAGAAATAAACAATGAAAGCCAGCATATATCTTACAGCATATAGAAAGTAGTCACGGGCCAAGCTTGACAGCTTTAGTTCAACATCAAGAACTGATAGAAAGGTAGAAGAGAACCAACTCCCACTGAGTAATCCTATTACTTGTATATATTCATTGGGTATGAGTGGCCCTATACACATACATATTCATAACACACAGACATGTAAATACGCTAGATTATAAGAATAAAACAGCTGACTAAGCCAAGCAATGGTAGTGCACGATTTTAGTGCCAGCACTCAGGAGGCAGAGGCAGGTGAATCTCTGAGATATGGGCCATCCTAAACTACAGAGTGAATTCTAGGATAGCCAAGGCTACACAGAGAAACTGTCTTAAAAAGTCAGAAAAAAAAAAATAAAAACAAAAACTATCAAAAAAAATTTGACTCTCACACTAAACAGATAAAATGTGTAGTCAATTAAGCTAACACTAACTTAATCCATTGTTATTATTCCAGAGTGTTTTAAGTGTAATAGAGGGAAGTCTATGCAGAAACTAAGCAAAAATGTAAATCCAAGTCCTGCCTAGGTGAGTCCGGATCAAGTTAAAGGCAGGGCAGGGCACTACCAGGAAATCTGGTCCTGATAAATGGGGTTCAAACTGGCTCATATCCCACCAGGTTTGAGGCAGAGTCCAGGCCTAGAACCTTACACCACACACATCAGGAGCCCTAGAACTCATGGTGTGTGTGTGTGTGTGTGTGTGTGTGTGTCATTGATTCTAGAAAGATTTCTCAATCTCTCTCTCTCTCTCACATGCGTGCGCGCACACACAAAACAAAAGAGAACAAACGACCATGAATTAAGTTAAAAGAAAAAATTCTTAGTAATTTTTTGACCCTGTCTAACCAATAAATGTTATAGGTATACTTTACCTTAATTTCTATCCTTGCTCTGTGAGGAAAAAGTTGTCCAATCATAGAAAAGTCAGTTCCTACCATACTGATGGCCAAAAAGAACATATCTGTTTCTGTAAAAACAAAAGATTAACTGAAAATTAATTTTCTGTTCAGACAAAATGACATAAGAATATTAGTTAAAAATAAGTTAGACAATATTTAACTTTATTGAAAAGAAAGTCAAAGAATTTTAAACACCCTAATACATTTTTTGGGGGAAAAAATCTCCATAGGTAAGTGTGATGATATATTCCATAATTCCAGAACTCAGGGGGCTATGGGAACAAGGACTCCTGCTCTGTACCCAACAGGCACAAATACGAAAGTGAAGTAGGTGACCCACCCAGTAGACAACTAAAAAGTTCATCCTCCCACTCCAAAGCGTCCCTAAAAGCTTGAGATCGATCACATGTACTCGCTGAGACAAAAAGGTCTCTGAAAATAGACTATGAATTCAAGCAGTTGCTAGCCAGAATGAAGGCCCAGTGCTAGCAGAGCTGCCACAGCTGCCACAGCACACTGAAAAGTACTTGAAGGGAGTGACTAACCAATACCTAGTCGGACTTAAGGCCCACTCCAAAAGATGGAATCCATCTCTAACACTGATTGAGTGACCAAGAACCTAAGTCTAGATAATTCAGGGACCTAGGGCAAAATCAAATAATATGGTCTAAAAGGAAAAAACCAATGTAGTGATAAAATGTCTCCTAAAGATGCTACACTCATAAATCATTTCCTTGCTCAGCCAGCCATCATCAGAGAAACTTCCTCCTGCAGACGAGGACAAATAGAGAGCCCAGAGAGTGGCTCAGAGACTGAGAAACGGATGTTTCCATTAAATCCCTTCCCTCAGAGCTCAGAGAACCCCACAGAAGAGGAGGCAGAATCTAAGAGCCAGAGCGTATGTAGGACACCAAGAAATCAACACGAGTAAAGCTCTTATGAACTCACAGACACTGAAGCGGCATGAAAAGGGTCTGAGCATACAGACGGGTGGGTTTCTGACTGTTGTGCCCATTTTGGGCTCTTTTCCATCTGGTGGTCTGTCTTGCACAACTTTAATGTGGCTATTTTCGTTTTATCTTTCTATTTTGTTATGTTTTTAAATTAATGAATGAATGCAAACCTAGCCAGCCGGGCACAGGCAAACAACAGAACTGTCATTCATATCTGGGAGAGGGAAAAGCTGTTTTCCCAATGGAATGACAGTAGTTTATCAACCACTCCAGGTTAGATCTCATGTTCAGTTACTGACCAACAAATAACAAATCCCAGATGTGTGTGTGTGTGTGTGTGTGTGTGTGTGTGTGTGTGTGTGTGTGTGCGCGCGTGCTTCTTTTTAGTTACAGTTTGGTGGGTTTTGGTGTTTTTTATTTGGGCTCCCCCCCTTTTTGTATTTTGCTTTCAAGATTTTGGGCATTTTGTTGTTGTATTGGATTTTTTTCACTTATTTTTTGAGAAAGAACTTAAAGTTGGATGGGCAGGAAGATCTGGATGAACTGTAGGAAAAGGGAGAATACGATCAAATATATTTAAATTGAAAAATTGTTTTAAATAATAATTAAAAAACAAAAATACTCAATATAGTAGATACTGAATCTTACTGCTATCAAACAAACATATATAATATAAAAAAGTATTTTGGAAACTAGATTTCCATAAGCCAATAAAACTTAGAAATTATTATTAGCAAAGCTATGGTAAAATAATACTTTTTATAGACAATTAGTAAAAGTATAAATTGTTGGGGTTTTTGTGTCTGGCCACCTAGAGGAAATAAAATACTCAGTGAATGGCAAAAAAAAAAGCACTTGGAAAAATGCTAACTGGACTGAAGGGGCTGTGGTATTTTCTAACATGTTGAGGAGAGGGAGGGAGGAAGTGAGGAAAACGAGACAAGCCTGACAGATGGTATCTCAAAAAAACAAAACAAAACAAAAAAACCCATAGAACTGATAAGTCAGAAGGGAAGTACAGAATCTTACTTTTTGTCCTATATTCTGCCATGCTTAAAAAGTTTTCCACAAACTACATTCTAAAAAGCAGTAAGTACCATCATGAAATATATATTAAGTACATTTTGTTGCTGTTATATGGTTATTTTTTTGTTTATTAGAGTTCTTTGGGCGGAGGGTCAAGACAGGGTTTCTCTGCGTAGCCCTGACTGTCCTGGAACTCACTCTGTAGACCAGGCTGGCCTCGAACTCACAGAGATCCACCTGCCTCTGCCTCCCGAGTGCTGAGTGTTGAGTGCGTGCCAACACCGCCTAGAGAGGTAAGATTCTTTTTATAGGCCAGACTGGTCTCAGATTAATGATAGTCTGGCCTAAGAGTCCTCGTTGCGGGCTGGAGAGATGGCTCAGAGGTTAAGAGTACTGCCTGCTCTTCCAAAGGTCCTGAGTTCAATTCCCAGCAACCACATGGTTACTCACAACCACCTGTAATGAGGTCTGGTGCCGTCTTCTGGCCTTCAGGCATACATGCAGACAGAATACTGTATACATAATCATTTATTTATTTATTTATTAAAAAAGAGTCATTGATGCTTACATCATGAGGACATGATGATTAGAAACACTGGAAGCAGAATGCTCTACGGGTATACATCGTGCTTACACAGAAATACTGTCAATTAGTCACTTAAATGTTTCTCTGTAGAATTTGAAAAAGCTTAAGAACCCAGGTAAATGGATTCTTAGAATGCTAATTCTTAGAATGATTTCTAGGGTAAAGTCAAAGACAGTAGGGGAAGGAGGGATGGGAACCAATAAAATTAAATGGATGAAAGACAATGTGTCAGTTGACATTTTATTTATAAGTCTGATTTAATTAGAAAACATAAAATAGAGCCAGAAGGTGGGGGTGCACGTCTTTAATCCCAGCACTTGGGAAGCAGAGGCAGGCAGACCACAGTGAACTGGAGGCCAGCCTGGTCTACAAAGTGAATTCCAAGGCAGCCAGAGCTGTTACACAGAGAAACCCTATCTCAAAGAGAGAGAGAGAGAGAGAGAGAGAGACAAAAAAATAACATAAAATAGTTCACTTCATTTTAAAAAAATCAGCATACAACTTTTAATGAGAATTAGTTACCTTCATTTGACCATGGCTTTGAATAATAGTTTTTCCTGAAGCTGGAATATGTGGTTGTTGAGCCACGCTCAAATATAGGATCATTTTCCTCAACAACACAGGGACCTTTTGTTCTCAAAACTTCTACAGTTAAACTGAAAGAAAGACATTTTCAAAGAGTCACACTAAAAACAAGCATGAAAAAGAACAGATGATGAGATTTAACTGGCTGTATTCTAAACTTATCATAGCAGTAATATCAAAAATATAAAACATTTGAAAAAAAATATATTTAAATTCAAAATACAAATTTTCCGAACATTTTTCCTAAGCAGCAGACATAAATGCCAACCTGTTTTCATTACAGTGTTTCGAAATAACTTGGACTACCTAAAGAACAACAGTTCCATTGCCTCTTTTGTCTGTCTGTCTGGTTTTTTGATCAGGCTGTATGTGGTCCAGGCTGGGGGCTGTGCAGCTGGGGATAACCTAAAATTCCTATTCATCTCTCTCAACTTACGAGACTGCAGGCATATGTCACCACAACTGGGTTTGTTTTGTTGGTTTCTATATCCCCCCGGGGCTAATATTTCTTTAATGATTAATGACATCTAAAAATCAAATATAAAAACTTATCAGTATTATATCTATGTTTATTATAATCAAATTTAAATGTCATGTACATTTTTTCAAAACCTTTCATTTCTCTTTGTTAACTAATCCCTTAGAAAATACACACTTTAGAGCTGGAGAGATAAGCAGTTAAGAATTGCTTGACGCTTCTAATGACTTATTGTTATACCATGTATATACTGTATACTGCTATACTGTAGATCAGGGCAACCCTCGGTCTCATCTGAGAGACTGATCTGTGCAGTAGATGATGACTAACAGAGACCCACAAGGCCAAAGTGCAGTGAATATAAGAGACTACAAAATAAAAGCCCTACCACATACTCCTCCCAAGGCTCAAGAATCACTATGGGAAGGGAGGGTGAAGAAAGTTTAAGAGGAAGGATAACTACAAGGAGACAGCTTCTGGACACACAGCAAGGTAGCAGCTACACAGATGAACTCACAGTGACTGTTACATAATGCACAAAACCTTTGCAACCCCGAACTAGAACAAATTCCAGCATGGAGAGGGGAATTGAGCACAAAATCCCACCCCTACCTGTGCAGCAAATAGCAACCGATAGCTGTTGGTAAAAGACAGATACTTTTCTCTAAGAATAATAAAGTTGACCGTGCTCTAGTGGAATACCATACATTCAAGAATATTTGAGTTGCTCTTGAAGGGTTTAAAAAAAAGTCACAAAGGAATAAAGTGGATCTGAAAATGATCAAAACATGATGCACAAAACTGGAAACTCTTAAAGAATTAAAAAACAAGATGTGTGTGCTTGTGTGTGCGCGCGTGCGCATTTTTAAACAAAAAAAGTGCTTGCTGCTCTCCCAGAGGATTCAAATTCAGTTCCCAGCATCCACATCAGAAAGCTGACAACCACACAGAACTCAAATTTCAAGGAATTGTCCATTACAACCATACACCCAAATATGAAATTAGTGTGAGGTGTGTAGTGGCACTCAACTTTAATCCCAGCACTCAGGAGCAGAGAAAGGGTTTTACAGAAAACCCTGTAAAGTTAGAGACCAACCTGGTCAACAAAGTGAGTTCCAGGCCAGTCAGGGCTACACAGTGACACCCTGTCTCAAAAATATCAGCAAAGTGAAACGACCACATTTGATAAAACCTAAATATCAACTTCATAACTGAGTCAATCCTAGAAATCCACCCTCAGTGAACAATATCACACAGCTGGCTCAGCAGCTGGACTGGATTAGCAGCAAGGGGAGGAGTAAAAGTTAGGTTGACAGAAAATAGGAGAGTGATACCATCTCGTGCAAAACATACTAAAATTACAAATTAATTTAGTTTGATTTTCTTTTTACACTATTCATGATATAAATATATACGGGGATTTATGAAGTTATACTGACAGATTCAGAAACAGAACCTCTCCTCTACAATGTGTTGTGTTCTCTGCCATCATCTCCCTCTCTCCCCATCTCTTTAACTCACCTTTCTTCATCTAAAATAATAGAACCATCTTCTGCCACTTTTACTCGAGGAACCAGCAGTGGCCCATCATCCGCCTCCTCTTCCACGTCTTCATTCTCATCAGCACCATGAGTGCTCTGGTTGTCTTGCCTACTGAATGTAAACAGTCATTAACTTAGCAACAAAACATAAGTATTTCCTGAGAAGTCTGAATTCAAAACAAGTTATTAATGAGCAATAACCCAGATATTTCAAACTTTCCCTATAACTTAACTGAAAAAAATGACCTGCCAGGCATGTTGGTACACAATGTAATCTTGGCACTAAGGAGGCCAACACAAAAGGGCCAAAAGTTCTAGGTCAATAAGGAGTTTACATTAAGAACCTGACTAAAATAAATAGATGGACAGATGGATAAATACACAGAAAAGGGAGGAGTTATAAGGTTTTCTTTCAAATTTTGTTTGGCAGCTTTTGCTTGTTTGTTTTTTAGATAGGGTTTCACTGTGCAGCACTGGTTGTCCCAGAACTCACTCTGTAAGCCAGGCAGGCCTTTAGCTCAGAAATCCACCTGCTTCTGCCTCCCAAGTGCTAGGATTAAAAGCGTTCACCACCACCACTCAGTTATTTGGTAGCATTTAATAAGGAATCTAAAAACATAATAATAAGGAATCTTTTCTCGCTTTTAAAATAAATAAATGGTACCAGATGTGTAACTCACTGGTATATAGTATATCTTGGATTTGAGACCAATAATAAAAGAAAATGAATAAATAAATGGTATCTTAAGCTGAGCATTTCTATCATGTCAAACATTTCTCATTGCTTTGTGATAAAAATGTGCAAAATCTATTTTTCTGAATATATTTCCTGGTATAAGTTTTTGTAGTTTTATTTTCTTAGTCTATGAGATAGTATATCGCTATGAAGCCCTAGGTAGCCTGGTGCTCGTGCCCACGATGTGGCCCCACACTAGCCCGCAGACTCAGTCTCTCACGTGCTGGGGTCACAAGTGTACACCACCTTGTCTAGCTCTCAGGTACTCCATCAGCGTACGGTGCAAAAGCCCAGAACTTCTTGCTCTTACCCAATTATAACTTAGTTTTTCAAAAGGAGAATTCAAATCTTACTCTCCACTACAATGTCAGCTTAATATTTTATTAAGTACACATAAATTATAAATCTGGAATGATATGTTTAAAAATTGGTGAGCTAATGAGATGGCTCAGTGGGCTAAGGCACTTGTACAAAGCCTGACAACCTGACTGCAGTCTCCAGAACACACACTGACTCCCACAAATTATCTTCTCCCTTCCACACTCACCAGGGCATACATGTGCCCGCATATATAAACACAAATACACACTGCACACACACAATAAATACATGTAATAAAAAAAATGTGTTGCTGTAACTGGTAACATTTGAGAGAACCACAGACTTTTAAACTATGAAGAAACAAAGGTGGGAAGAATTCTGTCTACATTCCCTTTGCTCCTTTTGAATGTTTAAAAAGCATTTACTGATTGATTGATTGATTGTGTGAGCAGTGTTCTCCCTTCATATATATGTCTGCATACCAGAAGAGAACACTAGATCTCATTACAGATGGCTGTGAGCCAACATATGGTTGCTGGTAATTGAACCCAGGACCTCTGGAAGAAAAGTCAGAGCTCTTAACCTCTGAGTCATCTCTCCAGCACCTCATTTGAGGTTTTTACTACTTAAAGCTACTGTTTGTACAACAAACAACTCCATTTGCTGGGCATAGCAGTGCAGGCCTTTAGTCCTAGCACTCAGAGTCAGGGTTGGTCTCTGTAAGTTCAGGGCTCAGCATGATCAACATAGCAAGTTCTAAACTAGTCAAGGCTACATAGTGAGACCCTGAATCATTAATTTCCAATTTGAACATCTTTAATATAAAACTCATGGGGCCAATGAGATAAGATGGCTCAGCTGATAAAGGCACTTGTTACCAAGTCTGACAACCTGTGTCCAATACATGAAACCCAAATGTTAGAAGGAGAACTGATCCTCAGGCTGTCCTATGACCTCCACAAGTTATGGCACTCAGATGTACACATAGGCACAAATATACATGTATAAATGTAAATCATAATATCAGTCAATTACATATATATTACACAAATACTATAACCCTTTCATTATGAAAGTATGTAAGTGTGTGTGTGTGTGTGGTTTTGAGACAGGTTCTCCCTATGTACCTGCTGTATGGCAATTTCCTATAGAGCCTTCTCAGTGGGTGAGAAGCTTAAGACATGGGATGTGCCCAGAGAAGCTTGTTAAGCTCAGGAGCTAACAACTCAAAGACTTCAGGAAGTCCCTAAAACTGACCTTCCCTCTCCACGTGCATATAAGCAGTAAAGACTCTGAGAACCTCTCTTGGATAAGCCAAGCCACCTAGAAGAGAGTGGACCAATGGAGCTGTGATGTCTAAAAGACACTCTCCCACCTGCTGAACTGCCTTCAGGCTGTGCAATTGCCAGGTTCTCAGCTTTCATGAGTCATTGCCCAAGTTGGGTTGGGCTCTGATGATGCAGCTGTCTTTGAAATGAGTAACCTCTCACTCATATTCCTGACAATGAACACCCATAAAATTCATTGGTTCACCAAGCTGGTATCCTTATGGGTCTGTGGCCGGCCCCTTACCTGGGACAAGTAGACATTTATTCACATCTCTCCAGGAATGTCACACATCAGTAGTCCACACTGGCCTTGAACTTGAGATTCTCCCGCCTCAGCCTCTCAAGGACTGAGGTTAGACACATGAGTTACCATGACCAGCTACAGCTTCTGTATTTCTTTTCTATTTTTTTCTTTTTTGAGAGAGTGTTTCTCTATTAGCCTTGGCTACCCCTAATAGCTTCTATTCTTAAATGAGTCTATTTTCAGGAGCCAATCAAATGTAAATACTACAACAGAAAGATTCATTTGAGGCTGGGGATAGGAGTGTTCCATGGATAAACTGTTTATGCAGAAGCATGAGGAATTGAGTTTGGATCCTCAAAACCCATGTAAAAGATGGACAGGCCTAGTGGGCAGCATTCAAAAATCATAGACAACGGATTTCGATGATAAGCTGACTAGATAAGTCAAAATCAGCAAGAAACCTTGCCTCCATCCAGAGTAACTGAGTAAGACAAGTACATGTGCCTACACAAAACACACATGTATAAACACACAACACTGCACCTACAAGAAAAGAAAGGAAGAGAGGAAGGGGAGGGGAAGGGAGAAAGAGAGAGAGAGAAAAGGAAAGAAGGAAAAAGAAAGGGGGAAAAAGGAAGGAAGGACATTAGACTTCATTTTAAAAGTGTATCCAGAGGTGGGTGTAACTCAGTGGTGAGGCACCTGAGTCCCAATTTCGTGCCCAGCAACAACAGAAAAGCACCTAAAAAACATATTGTAAAAGAGCAAGATAAGATGCTCACTCTCTTGCCGGGGTAGGAGTCAAGGATTTTTCGGTTTTCTTTTCTTGTTCCACTGAAGAACTGTTAAGTGCAAATAAAAGAATACTTTTAAATAAATTGATATTTTATCAATTCTATCTATAGAATTATATCTATAATTATATCAATTATATCTATAACCAAAAAATTACCTTAGCTTCTATTTTTATGTTTTCTTTTTATTTTATGAGCATTACTGTTTTATCATGGGTGTTGGATTCACTGGAGCTGGAGTTACAGACAGTTGTGAGCTGCCGTGTGGGTGCTGGGAATTGAACCCAGGTCCTCTGGAAGAGCAGTCAGTGCTCTTAACCACTGAGCCATCTCTCCAATATACTAAAACATCTCATTAAAACGTTCAGCAATCATTTTTCCCTGTGCCTAGGAAATGAGCTCAGTGAAGGCTGAGAATGAACTTGATTCCCAGCACACATCCCAACCGAAATAAATAGATAAATGGGAAGAATTTTTTTGGCCAAAAACTCATCAAGTACGAGTATCTGCTGGGGCCTAAATCAGAAATATTTTTACCCCCTAATTCCTTAGTGAAGAGAGACTCTCAGCTCTAGGAAATGAAGCAACCTAGGTGGCTCATCTCCAATGGATAGCTGTCAAACTCAAACTTATGTTTCTTGCCCTTCCTTCAATGAAGTCAAAAAAGACCGGGTGAACGTAAAAGACGTTTACACTGAAGAAATACGCTAATTCCATATCCTACACCACCAATATCATAATGAGCAGATTTCCAGGATTTCTACCTTCTCTCTCAGGCTAACTTTAATTCAATAATTAAAGCTTTGTTCATGATGAACTTGTTACTCAAATTGTACTGTTACTAATGTATAGGGCATAAAAACTAAAGATTCCTTTCTATAGCATTATAGTACATAAGAAATAGAAGTTACACACTATCCTGATAATTAAAACAACAAAGGATTCCCTTTTCATCTTGGAGATAAAGGAAGGGCATCACTGACATCCCAGAAAGAAGTCACTTGATAGAGCACGACATTGAGTGCCGCACATGGGAAGAGCATCAGCTCAGACCTCAGGACCCCAGGAGAAGACTCTATCTATACTCATTTTGTTAGGAATTTTATCAACAAAGAAATTTTTGGTTTTCTTTTCTTGTTCCACTGAAGAACTGTTAATTGCAAATAAAAGAATACTTTTAAAGAAATTGATATTTTATCAATTCTATCTATAGAATTATATCTATAATTATATCAATTATATCTATAACCAATTATCTTAGCTTCTATTTTTATGTTTTCTTTTTATTTTATGTGCATTACTGTTTTATCATGGGTGTCGGGTTCACTGGTTCTAAAAAACATGAAACTGTACTCTAAAAGTGCCATATTACTATATACCCAATGAAATTAAAGCATAAATAAATTTTACTTACGTCATTGGATTGTTATCTGGCAGGTAATATATGAAGTCTCTCATGGTCATTTTTGAACGATCTGGTGGCCTCTGGCTTTCATTTGTAGCAAACTTGTTTTTCCATTGTTTCTATATATGGAGATTTTATAAACAAAATAATTTCAGACACACTAAACTCAAATACACAACCCACTGACTTAAAGTGCTTTAATATTATTATAATTATACCTAATTTTAAGAAATCATTTATAACCTGAATATTGTATTATACAATACCCTTAGTAGTTTTTCTTTTTCCTTAGTAGCATTTTAAAATAAAGCAGAATTAGAGGTTTATTATAGATATCTTATGATGATGTAATTTGACTTGTGTGTATGCACGCATGGTTGAGCATGGGCAGATGTGTCCATGCCCCATGGAGGCCAGAAAAGGCCACTGAGTGTCGCCCTATATCACTCTCTACTTAAAGTCTTTTGAGGCAAGGGCTTACATCTTAGCTAGAGTAGAAATCAGCAAGACCCAATGATCCTAGCCCGTCTCAGGGGTGAGATTATAGTCATTGTGGGATGCCCAACTTGTTACACTGGTGCTGGGTCCAAGATCATAAAGCAAGCACGTTTAACCAGTGAACCACCTCTCCAAACCCTTATCTTAATTAAAGATATTTTACTATGGGCTTCACAGCAAGAGTTAAGATGGAGAGGCACTCTGAAGACAGTTAACATACCTAAGAGAACACGGATAAAAGTTTCTCAAAGATGAGTCACCTCTTAACAGTTTTTAAAATCCAAGAAGTTGGGAGCTGGGGAGATGGCTTAGCAGATAAGAGCACTCACTGCTCTTCCAAAGATCCTGAGTTCAAAATTCCCAGCAACCACATGGTGGCTCACAGCCATCTACAGTGAGATCAGGTGCCCCCTTCTGACATAAAGTCATACATGCAGATAGAGTATTCATATACATCAAAATAAATAAATAAATAAATAAATGAAAAAAAATCCAAGAAATTGGCACTAGATAAAAAGCTCAGCGTATACAATTCTGTTTATCAGAGCTAGGAACATGGCTCAGTGTTAAAGCACCTGCCTCGCATATATAAGGTCCTGAGTTCAATCCCCAACACTACCAAAATAAGGCGTTCTGTAATTAGCTAAAACAGCTGACATTTGTTGTTCACTACTTTCTAAACCCTAAAACACATTAGCTCTAATGCATTAATAATAAATCTTCAAAATCCTCCAGTGAGGTTTTAGTATCATTATTGGTAGTATTTTACAGAGAAGGAGAAACAGAGATACAAAAAAAGACTAAGCTGCCTAACATCACACTGCTAGTAAGGGATGAAGCCTACATTTCTAACTCCAAAGCCAGCTTTATCACTGTTCCACTGTATACCGTGCCTGATTAAAAGGGATACATATGCACTGCGTAAGTTTTTTGGCCACAGTTCAATTTAAAACATTCACATTTGTTTGATTATACTTATTTTAATTCAAATTACTCCACATCACTTAGACATTTTTATGGAAACTATTTTCATATGCTTGTGTATCTATCTGCATGTTCATAAAAAACTTATTTTTTACTATCACCAAAACTAGTGAAAAATTTAAATAAATAAAATAATTTTAAAATGACTATCAAGAAAAATGTCATGATATAAGATAAGGATGGCTGGGTCAGGAAGATGGTCTTGATTACAGAGTGAGTTACACATTGAGTTAAAGATCATTGCAACTGCCCTCCCCCCAAAAAAACCTGAAAATTAATAGTAATAATAATAAAGTCTATCAGTTGAAAAAAAAAAGTAAATTTACAAGGTTTACTTTGAAGCACAAATAATAAAAACCCAGAGACAAATACTGGGGTTTTGAAGATCAGACAAGCAAAGCAGCCAACCACTAGAAACCTTTTACCTCTGCCAAATATTCAGACCCAAAAGGCAAGATTCTGTCTCCACGAATCCTCAGACTCCATACTCTTCTGAGTTCCTGTCTTTTCCCCTTTACAGTCCTCATTCTGTCCAGCCATACTCCCATACTCCCGTCTCCACCTCCCTAATGCTGGGATTAAAGGCATGGGATCACCTTTGTGTGAGCACTGTTTCTCCTTTAGACAGATTCAGTCTTACTTAGCCTAGGGTGGCCTTGAACTCACAGAGATCCCTCTGTCTCCCAAGCCCTGGGATTAAAGGTGTGTGCCACCATGGCCTGGCTGTGTAGCTGACTAGTATGGCTGCTTTGTCCTTTGATCTTCAGGCAAGCTATATTTATTAAAACACAAATAATATACCACTTTATTACGCTGTATTACACAAGATGTTATGTTACACATGAGTCTGGTATTACTTTCCCATCAATTTCAACACATACTTCATTTTCTTCTAAAGCTAAATATAGAAATCTAGCAGGCAGCATCTAAATTTTGAGTTTCTTCAACTTACCTTCTCTTTTCTCAACTCTTCTTTCAGCATCTCTCTCAGTTTCCGGGCCTTGTATATTCGGTATCTATCTGAACACGGGGGCTTGTCTTTAGCTGGAGCAGGGCTGGGCTGCAGAGCATCGTGGTTAACTGTAGACAAGGGTTGACACTGTGAAGAAACACTGATAGTAGGCTTCGCAAGACTAGAAGTGCTTGGCACTCGCTTTCTTCTCTGAGAAACAGTAGAGGATGGTTTGCTGGACTCTTCAACATTATTTTCATCACCAGTCTTTGCATCACTGTTGAAATATAAAAGAAAGAGTGGACATCATGAATCTTATGCTGGTTTTAAAACAGTAAGGTCTCATTAAACAGAAAAAAATGCATAAAACCATGACTTCTCAGATCTATGTTGATTACAACAGAGTTGCAATAAATCACTTATTTAAAACTTTCTTAGCCGAATGTGACAGCTCACACACTATTCTCAGCAAAGGGAAGCTGAGGCAGACAGACTGCCATGAGTCTGAAGCCAAGCAGCTTGAGCTATCTACCAGGTATGACTATCTCAGAACAAAGCAGGGCTGGTGAGAGGGTTAAATGTACTTTTACTCCTCCACAGGACCAGAATAGTTCCCACACTGACATCAAGTGGTGCACAAACAGTTGGAAGTCTAGCTCCATAGATTCCATACTTTTTGTCCTCTGTGGACACCTGCACGCACGTGACATTCACACACACACACACACACACACACAATCTTTAAAAGACAAAACATAAATAAAATACTAGTTTTGGTGTATGTAAATTCTAAGGAAATCTGTTTAAGTTAATCTTTTTCAAACTTCAATCCCTAAGCACAACATAAAAAAAATTAATAATATGCTGAGCACAAAACAACAACAGCTAAGACACTGAACAAGGCTTAATTAGCAAATTTCTAATAAATAAACGGCTGAGAGGTTTGGAGATTTTTTGTTTTGCTACATGTCTGTAATCACAATACTGAGGAAATGGAAGCAGAAGGATAGGAAAAGTTTACGATCATCCTCAGCAACATACGAGCTGAGGCTAGCTTAGGCTACATGAGACCCTAGCTCAAAAAACAGAAGAAAAAAAAAGATCTAGTCATATTGACTATGGTATAGATCAGATATAAGTCTCTCAGAAATGGGGCTGGCGTCACGACTCAAGATTAAGGGCACTGGCAGCTCTTCCAGAGAACTTGGGTTTAATTCCCAGAACCCAGATGTAGCTCACAACTGTCTGTAACTCCAGTTCCAGGGAATCTGACATCCTCTTCTAGTTTCCAAGAGCACCAGGCATGCAAGTGGTGCACAAGGGCAAACACCCACATGCAAAAAATTTCTTACAAGCAAAAAGCCAGGCACAGTGTTGTACACCTTCAGTCACATCACAGAGGCAGGCAGATCTCTGAGTTCAAGTCCAGCCTGCTCTACAGAGAGTTACAGGACAGTCATAGAGAAATCCTATCTCAAAAAGCAAAAAAAGAAAGAAAGAAACCAGAGGTGAAGTTGAACAACATTAACATCTATTTCTAATAATGAACTATAGCAGGCAGGATAACTATGGTTGACAATTTTTATCACAAGACTGTTACAGAAAAGATCTGGAATTATCAACACAAAGAAATAATAAACTTTTAACGTGATATACCATACCATGACACATTCCAAATACATACTGAAATAATACAACATACTCCAGAAATAAGTACTATCACTTAACGTTAAAAAGGGAGTATAGGGGCTTGAGAGATGACTCATTGGTTAAGAGCACTGGCTGCTCTTCCAGAGGACCCTGGCTCAATTCCCAGCACCCACATGGCAGCTCACAACTGTCTGTAACTCCAGTTCTAAGGGATCTGATACCCTCACATAGACATACATTCATACAGGCAAAACACTAATGCAGATAGATAGATAGGTAGGTAGGTAGGCAGATAGATAGATAGATAGATAGATAGACAGACAGACAGACAGACTGACTGACTGACTGACTGACTGACTGATTGATTTTAGAGGGGGGATATAAATTAACATTTTAAGTCTATTTTTATTTTATCATTACTTCTATATAAAGTTGAAGCTATCTTAACCTCTGGTATAATCTCTCTAAAGACTTTTAATTACTCTTTTCTTAAAGCTGAAGATAGATAAAACTCAATGGTAGGTTGCTTGCCTAATATGCACAAAACTCTGGGGTTCAGCAAAAACTGTGACCCCCTAAAACAATGTAACACATCAACTATTGGCATTTTCTATGTTAAATGCATACTCTGTTGGTTTCTACAACTAGCAAAAACCCAGAACAAAATGATCTCATCAAATAAGGAAAAAGAACTTGGGATGTAGCTAAACTGGTTGAGTGTTTGGTCAATATGCACAGAGGCCTGGCTTCCATCACCAGTGCCACAGGAACCAGGCACAGTGGCACACATCTGCCACTTCAGTATTCAGAAGGTAAAGCAGTGGCATCAGGAATTCAAGGGCTTCTTCTCATGCACAGTCAGTTCTAGGCCTGCCTGAGTTACATGAAAATTCTCTCTTAAAAATAAATAGAAAAACTGCTGGACATGGTGGCACATGCTTTTAATCCTAGTACTCAGAAGGCAGAGGTGATGGATCTCTTTGTTCCAGGCAAGTCAAAGATACACAGTGAAATCCTGCCTAAAAAACAAAACAAAAACCAACAACAAATTTATGTGTGTGTGTAAATAATATAGGTATCTCAGGACCATGGCCTAAGGGCAATTTATAAACTATCAATCATCATGCATTCCTACAGAGCTAACAAAATCTCCAAACCTCTTTGAGTAAGTAATGACCAACACTGGTATTCTCATTCTAAGTAGAACCTTGGAAATATGGAGAATCGTTGAAATATCAAAACAACACACAGCACCAACTAAGATCACAGAAAAAAATGCTGTTGCTATGCAAACATAATTTGTACCATCTCCCTGTCGCTCAACATGATTAGCAGTTTCCTGGCTTCCTCCTCTGTGTAATATAAAAACTGCAATCATTGTACCATCACCTTTCCTTGTTTTGTTTTTTGAGACAACGTCTACATAACCCTGACTGCTCTACAACTCACTACGTAGACCAGGCTGGCCTCGAACTCACAGAGATCCACCTGCCTCAGCTTCTCGATTGCTAGGACTAAATGCATGCGACACTACACCTGGTTCTCATCACCTTTTTTATGAAATTAGTAAATTTGGGGGAACTACTCTGCCATGTCATGTTCAAAACAGTTCATAAAATCATAATCTCATCTATCAATACTGCCCCAAAGGAGGTACTACTGACATCTAAGAGAGGAATAAATTTTCCCTGAGGACAGCCTACTCTAAATTCTTAACTAAGAAGTAGAGTCCTGCATTTGAATGTGGTATTTGACGCTAAAGCGAAGCGTCTTAATTCGGGAAACATAGTAACTATAAAGGAGTACACACTCAAACCAAAATAAGCAACCTGAGTCTCTTCCCTTTTGACAAATTCTGCAGGTGTGGCTCAGTGACACGCTTGCCTGACACGCGTGAGGCGCTAGGGTTCAACTGCATCAACGCGTGGAGGGGGGGAAAGAAATTCAAGTAACACTGGTGTTCTCCTTTTAAAAATAAGTATTCACAAGATGAAAATCCCAAACTGCTTTCCGAGTAAAGTGCTCCAGAAGAATTAATTAAATTTTCTAGTGATAGTGTGCCTATTCGTGACTTCAGAATTGTGAAACCTTAATTCCCATCCCTGTAAAAAATGGTCTCCTCGAGAATCATGACAGAATCAGTAGTCACACCTTCTGATCAGGGAATTAAACTGCAGCTAGGAGTGGTTACGTCCAGCTCAAGCCAAAGGCTTGCTGGAGACGAGGTACTCCGTTTCATGCTCGTTCTACAAGACCATACCTGTTTCCGGGAGCCTTTTCCTGGGGCTCCGCTCCCCCGGAAGCCACCGCTGGCACAGGTACATCTGTGGGCTCCGCTGGCTTCGGAGCGGACTCGGTGGCAGGTTCGGGAGGCCTGGGAGCCGCCGGTTCACGCTGGGGATTAGGAGCACCGGAGCCCCTGGCGCCTCCACCAGGCCTGACATTCGGCTTCACGCTAAGGCGTGCCCTGCGGAACATGGCGGAGCCAGGGGGCCGGGAGCGGCGCCTCCACTGCCGCGCTCAGCCCAGAGCCCCGGCCGCTGCCCGAGGGCTCGGACCCTCGCCCTCCCACACAGCCACAATCACCAGCCCAGCGCTGGCTACCGCAATTTCGCGCCCCCTCCGCCTCCTCCGCTCTCCCGCCACCGCCTCCTCTTCATGACCCTGCCACACTGATAGCTAAGTTTCTCCTCCCCGCGGCCCGGCTCGCAAAGAGGCGCCGGAAACCATAGCGTAATCAACCTGCGCCTCGGCGTGACGTCACGCTGCGGGCGCCGGGAACCATAGCAACTGCAACGCTCTGTAGCTTCGGTTACCTGTGAAGCAGAGATTTTGTACTCAAAAGATAGATATTTCTTCTTCTGTAAGACCACGAGAGTTGTTGAAAGAGAGTAGGGAAGCAGCTCGATCTTCAGACTCAAACTTGTAAAACACCCTAACTCCCACACCCCGCCCGCGCGGTGCTGGAGTTTGAACCCAAGGTCCCTAGCCTAGCATACTCGGTGTGCACGGTACCACAGAACTTCACCCCCAGCCCACTTACCAGAATCTTTTTTGGACTATTAAGGACTATTTGGCTCTCGAGAAGAGCCAAAGTGTGCAAGAATGCAAAGCCTGGTGGTGCATTGGGAGACTTAATCGAGTATGTTACACTTGCATTGGGGAAACCTTTCCTGGAGAAGAGCTGTAAGCAGCTACGGTTCCAGTAACGTTGTGGTACTCCCTGGTTCCCGATCGCCAGGATCCCTTTGTATGCAACCTCCGACGCTTACAGGAAGGTCACGACAAGTTTCAGGCCAGCATGGACTATCTAGCAAAACCTTATCTCAAAAAGACAATAAAATAGTTTGAGGGCAGTGTCTTACCACCAGTTGGTACCCGGAGCGGAGCGTAGATACTGGTTTTGGATTTGAGACAAGGTCTCTTATAGCCAAGACTGGCTTTCAATTCTTGGTCCTCCTGCCTCCTCATGCTGAGTGCTGAGATTACAGGCATACATGTGCTACCATGCCCTGCTAGAAAAAAAGAAAGTTTATGAGTATGGAGGGTTTGTGCTGTGTGTGGGTGCCCAGGGAAGCCAGAGAGTTACAGTTGTTTCTCAGACTCCTGATGTAGCTGTTGGGAACCCAAAAGTGCCCACTGGAACAGCAGGAAATGATTTTAACAACTGAACCATCTCTCTAACGCCCCGTCTCTACTGAGAAATTTTAAATTGAGTAAAACAATTCTTGTGTGAAGAAATGGCAAATGGCTACCTATTGAAAGATAAGCTATGAAACACTTCATAGAAAGACATTCACTAAACGTGCTTTTGTACACTTTAATGTGAACATATTGCCTATCAAAAATTACTATCCTCTAAATTTGCACATTAATGTCAGTATTCTTAATCTGCTTCCAGAGATAGTAAGAAAACAATAAATAAGATATTCTGTATTACAGAGGAGAAAATACAAAACAAAAGAATAAGATATTTAAGAATATTAAATGTAGGCTGGAGAGATGGCTCAGAGGTTAAGAGCACTGCATACTCTTCCAGAGGTCCTGAGTTCAATTCCCAGCAACCACATGGTGTCTCACAACCATCCATAAAGAGTTCTGGTGTCCTCTTCTAGCCTGCAGGCATACATGCTGGTAGAACACTGTATATCTAATAAATAATCTTTTTTAAAAAAATTAAATGTAATGAAAGAGAGTTCAAGGATTATACAATAAGAGTACTGGTGTACTGGCAGTAAGGCCTTTATGATGGGAGAAAAAAATAGGCAGCCCTAAGATTTACTCTGTAGAACTGAAGAATGACAATACTCATTGAATCTGAGACACAAACCCATGACACAGAAAAGCATAAATCTCTATCTTTTTTTAAAGGAAGATATTGTAAGAACATCCTATCTGGGTGTGGTTGAAAGTACCTTGACCCCAATACTTGAGAAACAGAGGTAGGAGGATTGTAAGTTCAAGGTCATCCTCAGTTGTACATTAAGTTCTGAGACAACCTGGGCTACCTGAAATCCTCTCTCTCTCTTTCTCTGTCTCTCTCTCTCTTTCACACACACACACACACACACACACACACACACACACACACGGATGGGAAACCTGAAGGCTGGGAGTGCAGTTCAGTCCTGAGCATTTGCAAGGTCTTGGGATCAGGCAGCAGTACTAAAATATATAAGGATGGTTCAAGAATTTTCAAAATGCTATGTGCATACATGTAATCCCATCACTCAAGAGGCAAAGACAGGGGAATTGCATGAGTTTGAGAATAGACTGTTCTGAATAGCCAGTTCCAGGCCAGCTAAGGTAACACATCAAGATTTCATTAATAAATAAATGAGTGTGAAAGAATACTATGCCGAAGTTACCATGTAGTCCCTGCTGGGACATACAGCAAGTTCCTTCACAAGATCTATCCATAAATCCTGTGTTCCACCCAAGAAACCAAGATGTTGTTACAAGGAAACCAAAATGATTTAGATTTAATGCCCTACGAGCAAGGAGATAAAACAAAAATTTACTTTATAATGATCTTTTCCTTTCTGGTTTTAACAGATATATTTATTTTTATTTTCTATGTATAAGTGAGTTCACTTACATGTATACATGTGTGTCTGGTGCCTTGGGAGGTGAGAAAAGAGCATCAGATTCCCTGGTACTGAAGTATGGATTGTTGTGAGCCACTCTGTGGGTCCTGACAATTGCTCTTTACTGCTGAGTCATCTCTCCAGCTCCCCCACACAAACTAAGTTTTACTATTAAATATATCACAAGACAGTACACAAGTTGTGAAGTAAGTTGTTAGTGTCACCAGTAGCTTTAAAATTCTACAATTCAGAGACAGGAGAGATGGTTCCACAGTTAACTTGCTGTTCCATCATGAGGACCACAGTTTGCCTCCCAGCATCCATGTCAGGTAGTTCACAAATGTAAGTCCAGCTCCAAAGGAGCCAACATCCTCTTTTGGCTTCTGAGGTCTCTCTCTCTCTCTCTCTCTCTCTCTCTCTCTCTCTCTCTCTCTCTCCCTCCCTCCCTCTCTCTTTCTCTCTCTCTCTCTTTTTCATGTGTGTGCACACAAAATAAATAATGTTCTAGTTTTCTCTAATGTTCTCCCCGTATTTCTCTCTAAAACAGAGTTGGGGGTCTCACTGTGTAGCCTTGGCTGTCCTAGAACTATGCTTGGAATGTAGAGCATGCTGCCCTTTAACTCAAATTTATGAGGACTGAGACCTGCCTGTCTCTGCGTGTATAGGGAATATTTTTGTAACCTCACAACTCAAAAAATATAATTTCAGGCACATATTCATT